AAATTTCAAAAAATTTTCTTTACTTTATGCCATTTTAAAATTCTATTTAGAAATTTATTTTTTGAGAATATATTTAAGAATTTAAATCTTAGACTATAAATTTTTTTAATAATATCTTAACCAATGGATCTATGTTCTAGTCAATATTTTAACTCGATAAATTAGAAAAMTAATAATGGTAACTTGCGTGTAATTTATAAATTTATATAATATAATTTAAACATAAGATTTGAGATAGAAAAAACATTAAGGTAAAAGGATTTAATATCTCCTTTAATTATTTGATCCAACTTACAATCTTTATATAATTAAAAGATTTGACTTTTTTAGGGTATTCTTCTTGTTCTTTTTAAATGTTATATTATCTCTTTTGATTATTTAATCAACAAATTGAATATTTCTTGAACTGAAAGTAATCCATAACTTCAAGTGTTAAAATCATTGTTAATAAATTAAATTAATAATCCTTTTCAATTGCCTAGCCACATGAAGCTTCCATTTTATTTATTTATGTTGTGGTGGTTTTCTTAAAGGCATCAAACTCACATAATGATCAAAGAGATCATGAACTCTAATAATGCCAATCATATTTTTCTTAAACAAAATGAGTTTTAAAACATTAAAATTTGTTTAGTTATAATCTAATATATTATTAATGTAAATTTAAGGTCAAATAAATTTTGTTTGCTTTTAAAGACAGATGGTAATTAATTATASAAGACCAATTATTAAGAGTATGTTTTCTACATATAATAATATATATAACCACCCCATTTTATAATGTATATATATTTATTTTTTCAACAATTATAGAATAGAATTGGGAGATTGAAATATTGACTTTTGAGATGGTAAAATGTGTCTTATCCACTAAACTATATTCTGATCGACAATATRAACAATTATTTAATCATCTTCATCAAAATTTGGAGCTATATTCCAATCCAAAACATAGTTCAACCAATATATTTTGCTAATTGATTGTTTGATGGGTGATTAAATCTCAACTTATTAATCACTTTAASAGAGAAGTATATGAGATAAATATAGACAAATTTTGTATATATAATTGAAAATATCATTCAACGTTAACAACTAAAATATAATTGAGGTTTGAATCCACTCATGTTAGAAATGTGACCTAAAATCTCATATATTGACTAAGTTAAAGGATAATCGTCTCTATTGGTACAAGACTTTATAGGTGAAACCAAAAAGCAAAATCACGAAGATTTCTAGTGGATTAATAGCATAYCATTCGTTGAATAAATTAAATGATTGAATTTATAGAAACCTAATTCTCAAGTTAAGTAACAATTTACCATATTAGAGATAATATAACTAAAAGGGTTAGTTTAATAATTGCGCATTGGTGAAGAAAAAGAGTGAATTATTTACATTTTCATAGCTAATGCAATAATGTATATAGGTAGATAAGAGAGAAGGTAAAATTATACACTAAAAAGGGAAAATTATTGGGCAATGGAAGAATATAGAATAGTCCCTCTCTTCCAAGCTGATCCATCATGAAAGGGACTTAGCCATATCTCATTCTAAAGAAAGAAACAAAAACCAAATTATTTTTATGCAAAACAAACAAAAACTCCCCATCTTAAGGGCCAACCTTCATAATATCTTCCAAAAAAAAAATGAATATAGGGTTTGAAGCATAACCTTACAATGACAAATGGACAACATTTGAGACAGAAGAAAGAATAACATTATTGTTAAGATATATGTTTGAAGATGTGTTTGGTTCATGAAGTTAGGTTGTGTACAATAAAGTTAACTCGAGACTATATTTGTTACCTAAGCTTAAATTTTATTAGAATGGATATTTACATATTTTTAAAAAATCATGTCCCATGACCAATTCTAAAGTTTTGGTTTAAGAAAAATCAAATTAGGATCCTGCTGCTATCATTTTAACATTATATATAGAAGAAGAATCAAACAGTAAGAATGATAAGGTATAGTACGTGTATGAAGAGAGGATTTAAATCTACAACAAGATTACCGATAGACAACGACAATGTCTTGTGGTCGAGTCCTTAGAGGTTGTGATTTGTCCATTCCATACGAGACTAAAAATTTCAAGTTAAGAAGTCGAGATTATTAGTGATAAAATTATCTATCCCAATCCAATCCTCTCCAACTCTTCGTAAAGATATACATAATTTTAAAGGAAAATAAGAAACTCTTACCTCAAATAGGTGAGTCAATTTTGTACTTTAAATTTTCAACTTCATCAATATTTTAATTCTTAATTTGATTACATGTTACAATTTGATCTCGATTTTTCAAAATGGAAAATTGGGCCGGGATTAAAAGAATAAGGTCGAATTTACTTACCCGCAATTGTAATGAGAATTAATCGAAATGAAGATCAAAAGCACTACCATAAGTTCTAGAATTACATTCTCTCCAAATACGAGATATAGAAGCAAGACTGCTTCCTAACTCTATATCTAGGTGACTGATCTTTGCTAATACATACGATATACATATCCACTCTAGCTCTATACACCATAGACAAATACGATGTGAGGAACCTATTGATACATCCTAAATGATTTTGTTAAACATATATTCAAATAGGTGGTCTCGAGTCTCAATCTCATCAAAAACAGAGTACACATATAAAATTAGATTATACAAACATCAAAGAACGGACACGATATTGGAGATCAACAGATGATCACAAATAACCAACCAACTAAAAATGAATATTCGTGGATACAACCAAACAAACCAAACCACATGATAGGACAAGAGTATCTATTAACGTCACATTTAGGCAATCAATCAATTTGACACCTAACAATCAATTTTCAATATTCTAGTTTTCAAGCATTAATTAAGCTTCTCTCCAAATTATTTCCTTTTCACTAATGGGCAAAGTATATGTTTGTTATTATTGTGTGTTTTTTTTTCTTTCTTTTAAGTATTAATTAAAAGATACAACACATATAAATTAAATTATACTTAAAAAGTTGTTTATAAAAAATAATTAAAATTAATCAATAATCATAAATGAACAATTAATTGAAACCCATGTGAAAATAACAACATACTATTTCTGTTTTCAGTTTTCAGTTTTATTTTCTGGAAACTATTTGTAAAAATCATTTTATAAAATATGTATTTATGTATTGAAAATTTATTTTTTTACAAATAGACTACAAGCTTTTAAGTTTTTAAATAATTTATGTTGGGTACTTTAGTCTTTTAATTAATATGCCTCAGGAAACTTGTATTTAATTAAATATTTGTTGCTAAAAGTGAAGAAAAAATAAAAATTATTCAATATTTTAAAGAAAATTATTAAATGCAATGTATTCTACTTTTAATCAATCAATTAATAATATACTCATCAAACTATTTCAATTTTATTTTTTAAAATGAATCTATAAATTTCACATACATTCATATAATAACAAACTAATTATATGAAATTGGATACATTAATATTAATTAAAAAAAAAAGAATCTCTAGTTTTCATATCCATATTGGATACAAAATTATCATGTCTTTTTTTCCCCCTTTTTTTTGGACAAAATGACCATAAAAATAATATGAAGAAGACTATATTATTTTTATTTATTTTTTGAGAAAATGAACAAGACTATTAATGACATAACTTTGAATGCAAATAGTATCATATCCATACAAATAAATAAAATAAAATAATTACGACATGATTTTTAATTTTTTTTTAAATTTAATATAATAATGAAGAATACGTAAGATCATCTGAAATGGTAAAATCAAATAACAACCTTTTTTGATATATAAAATCAAATAACGACTTTAGAAATTAGAACACGGCAACACGTTATTTTTATTTTTTTTTTCTTTCTGTCTTTTATTTTAAATTTCTTTGTGAAAACTAATGAATTTCTAAAATAGGATTTTGGAATCTTATCCAATTATGACATTTGAATTTGATTTGGTAGCATATCTGATGAACAATTTAGTAAAATAAAATATAAAAAGGAAAGATAATAACTTAATATGTAAGTCGGGCATCAAATTATTGACGAGATCAAGTTTAAATTTTAAATAATTAAGATTTTCAAATACATAGAAATTCAAATCGCTGAAATCTTTGTGACATATTTTATCGAAATTTTGTTTTTTTATATTTTTGTTGAAATTTTATGTTAACAATTAATAAGGAAACTTAATTTTCATGTAATAAAAACAGTATACGAAATCTAAAAATGCCATCAATCATAGTACCTAAGTTTTTGTTTCTCTCTTATTTTAATTTCTAGATTTTGAAACCATCATTTTTTTTCCAATCGAAGTTACATTAAATTTTTAATTGAGTCTCATCAACATCATTTTTCAGTCAGGGAAGAAAATGATATGACATCATTATTTATTATTATTATCTTTAAAAATAGAAATTATTATTTATTATCATCCTCATCTTACAATTATAAAGATATAGATCCTTCTTTTTCTTTCGAACTAGAGTATTAAATTTCCAATCAACGTGTCAACATTTCCATCGATATTTCTAATGTTCATTATATCACAAAAAAATCGACTATGTATTAGAAAACATCAACAAAATATCATTAATATATCCATAATATTAATAACAATAAGTTTAAATTTATTTAAGAAGGTAAAATGCTTATTTTTTAATTTAAATAAATTTTAGAATGTTTTATTTTGTAAAATTTTCAAAAAAAAAAATTGTCAAAGATTCACACATTTAAAACCTTGTTTTGAACTATTTTAATTTGAGATAAATTAGACAATAATTTTAGACATTGACAGTCAAATAAAAATTCAAAATGCAAATATTCTGGGCCCCACGTATTGTATTAAAGAAGAAATCAAATTTTAAAAATTGAAATAAAAAACAAACTAGATAAATTATGAAAAAGAAAAAGGAATTTTAGGGTTAAATTAGGATTGATCCTCAAGTAAAGTCTATAAATAGTTTTAGAAGTTCAAAAAATTCAAAATTAAACCTCTTCCCAAATCGAATTCTATCCTTATCCCATTCCTATTCCTATTCCCATTCCCATTCCTTTTCGCAATTATTATTCATAAAATAGAATCCTATTTATTTAATTACCCCACAAAATCCCATGCATTAATCTTCCTTCTCCCTCTTTTCCTAGTATATATAACCTCTCATTAAATCCCCTCCTCCATTCATCTGCTCAACTCTGTTTCTGGGTTTTTTTTTCTTTCTAAATTTTCCCACAAACCAATCAGAATCTGAAGAAATCCCCTCTCGTTTGTTTGCATCTCAGATCTTATTCTCATGGTGATTTTCTCTCTGTTATCGACAATTTCAGATATTGGGTTTTTCTTTTTCTGTCTTTAATTCTTATGATCTGTGTGTTTGCAGGCAATCGAGGAGGAGAATGTGAAATACGAAGAGGTAAGATTTTGTTGTTTGATCTAACATTATTTTCCCGAGAAAATGAAACGAAGGAGAAAATTTTTGCAGGAATTCGTGGAAAGCGCACGTGGGTTGAAGCTGTTCACGTGCAGTTGGATTCCGGTGAAGGAAGAACCTAAAGCTCTGATTTTTATCTGCCATGGCTACGCCATGGAATGTAGCATCACCATGAACAGTTTGTTAATTTTCTTCAATATTTCTCATTAATTAACTTTTTTTCTCTCTTTATTTTGGAGATTTAAAATGATTTTGTTTTTGTTGTTTGGGAATATAATAGGTACTGCAAGGAGACTGGCAAAGGAGGGCTATGGAATCTATGGAATGGATTATGAAGGGCATGGGAAGTCATCTGGCCTGCAAGGCTTTGTTTCAAGCTTTGATAATGTGGTGGAAGATTGCTCCACTTTTTTCACTTCCATAACTGGTCAGCAATTTCTCTCCTCTCTCTAAATTTCTAGTTATTTTATACCCATTTTGTAGAATCTCCAATCCAAGAAACCCCATTCCTCATCTGTTCTCTTGTTCCATTTCTGTGGATTTGAGAATTGTGATTTTCAAGCCCCTCGTCAGTTTGAAAATTTGCACAATACCCAACAGGTAAAAATGAGTATTAATGGACGGGAGAGTCATGGGATTTCGAACACATTACTTTCCATTATGATATTGTCTAGTTTATAATTCTAGTTTGATTGGCTTATTTTGTTGGTATAAAAAAGCAAGTTGATCTTCCATTATTGACTTTTTTTTTGGTTGGGAATTATATAATTGGTTGATTGAGCAGAAAAGAAGGAGAATGGAAAGAAGAAGAGGTATTTGTTGGGAGAGTCAATGGGAGGAGCAGTGGCTCTGTTGATACATAGAAAACAGCCTGATTATTGGGATGGTGCCATCTTGGTTGCACCTATGTGTAAGGTAATTCTGGGTCAGTTTTNAGGAGAAAAAACAGAAGAATATATTTGGTAGTTTTGTCTATATTTTAGAAAAAATTAAAAATAAGGAAATAAGAAACAAAAGAAGTTGTATGTTTTCAAAACTTCTAAACATGTTACCAAATGTGTTTACCAAATAGTTGTTACCAAATGAAGCCTATTTTAGAAAAGAGATAAATGATTACCAAACAAGTTTCGATACGTGATTAATAAATGAATCATGTTTTGAAAACGAACCAAGAGAAATAAAAATGATTATCAAACGTATCTGATTTGAAAACCAAAAAGAGTCATGTTTTGAAAATGGTTTATCAATCCGGTATGTTTTTCCCTTTTCCTCTGTCTCAAACATAGATTTTAAAGCAATCCAACTTTTTAAAATTTTACATTTTAGCATTTATTGATGTGTGTATTTTGTATTTGTATTTTCCATTATGAATGGTAGGTTTAATTTTGTAATATATTTTTTTAATTCAACAAATATAGGGGTGGGATTTGAACTTCCCCTCCATTAAAAAAAAAATATATTGTTATTTTAAGTTAACTATAAGTTATATGTTGACAGAAAACTATAGAATTGATGACTTGTTAAACCTTGAAATAATTAAGCAAATGGAGCAATTAAATAATATATGATGTGATGTGCATGCGTGATGCGAGGGCCTGTTGAATTATTGCACTGAAATATATTTTTAAAAAAATAAAATTATAAATAAGCTTATTTTAATTGACCAACTCAAAATCTTTATATATTAAATTAGAAAAAAAGCAGTTTTAGATCCAACCCAGCGTAAACTTTTCCATGGGTTCGAATCTCGAAGAGCTGTGTTATTTTAAAGTTAATATTACTAAATTTAAGTTAAATTACCATTTAGTCCCTATAATTTGTAATTTTGTAATTTAGTCCTTATAATTTTAAAATTTTTCAATTTAAAAAATTGACTTTAATGAGAGTGAGAGTGTAAGGTAAGAGAGATTTAACCAGACTAATAGGGACCAAATTGAAAAATGAAAATTTAAAAGTTACGAGGACCAAGTTGAAAGTAAGCATAAACATTTAACATTAAATAGTATCTGATTTTGTGGGTGCTGACAGATTGCTAAAGACATGAGGCCAAATCCAATGATGATAAGTATGTTGACAAAGCTTAGCAAACTAATCCCTACTTGGAAACTTATTCCAACAGAAGACATTATTGATATTGCCTTCAAAGTCCCTGAGGTTAGAAAACAGGTATTATTCAATCCAAAATCCTCTTCCCTTTTCTTTTTCTTTTTAATTTTCCGGAATGGATGCCGTGTGGCTTAGATGTGGATTCCTATAACCAATGCTCGTTGCTTGAACTTGAATCGAAGACCTCATAGTATAGATGATATCACAAGATCCAAGGTCCTTGCTGTCGTTTTAGGGATAAAATTCATTTCATTTTTCATTTTGTTTAAATGGTTCTAAAAATGTTCCTTTGGGTAATAAATACTAAAAAAAACAATAAAAAAAATTAGATTTATCAAATCATTTGAGGCCTAAAAAAGTATATGTTTTAAAATTTATCTTCTTGGCCTAAAATTTGTAATGTAATTCTCTCATCAAAAGCAAGAATTGTGTTTCTATTTGAATATAATGCTGAATAATAATACCGTCTGAAAAGAATAAAATCAAAGGTGTCATCAAAATCAGGTCAAAATTCTAATTTTGTGCTAAAATTTTAAAGCTTTTTTCGTCTTTGTTTTGTTGACTTTTTGTATTTCATTTCACTTAAATTAAATGATTAAAAGGCAGATGTCCGTGACTATTTCTTAAAAAATTATACAAATAAAATCTTTTTAATAAATTTTAAATTATCAAATAAACATTTTACTCTTTTAAACAAGTTAAACGTTATTAATGTTAATATCATGTCTATATTAATGATATTTTATTGATATAAATATATCTTGTAAATTTTCTTTTTCTATATTATAAAAATATTGATTAACCTCTCACCTCGATGGCAATGAAAATTTAAAATCTGCATAAAGTTTTTTTTCTTTGTTGTTGACTTTTTGTATTACATTTTACTTAAACTCAACATAATCATATTTTAGAGAAAAAAAAACTAAGTTGATGGAACAAACATACAAAACAAGATACAAAATATTTTCAATTGAAAATAAAAAAGAGATTAAAATTTTTGTGATATGTTGTTGGCAGATTAGGGAAAATTCATACTGCTACAAAGGCCGGCCTCGGTTGAAAACTGGCTATGAACTCTTGCGGACAAGTTCAGAACTTGAACGTAATCTCAAAGAGGTAATATATATATATATATATATATATATATATATATATATATATATATTTGTTGTGTCTGCTGTTTCATTTGTTGTCTGGTTTTTCTTTTTTGCTATTGCTCATTGTGTTTGTGTCTGTTTTTAGGTTTGTCTACCGTTCCTCGTTCTCCACGGCGAAGACGACCGAGTCACGGATAAATTGGTTAGCAAACAACTCTACGACGAAGCGTCGAGCGACGACAAGACGTTGAAGATGTACCCGGGAATGTGGCACGGTTTGTTGTACGGTGAGACGCCGGAGAACATCGACATTGTTTTTGCAGACATCACCAGCTGGTTGGAGGAGAGGAGTGTTGCCAATGGTGATTCTAGGTCGGAACATGAGATTAAGAGGGAAAATGATGGTTTATTGGAAGCCAAACAACAGCAAGAAAGTTCAGATTAATTAAAAACATATATATATATTCTCTTGTTAATTAATTACATCCTTTTTCATTGCCTTTTTTAGTTATATTATGTTTTTTTCCTTTGGTTTATTGTAAAATAAAATTATGATATTATTTATTGTACTTGTAAATAGGGGTGTATACGGATTGGTTTGGAGGCATTTTAAAGACCCACCCCACACGAAAATTCATTTAATTATGCATATATAGAGAGGTCCAAGTAACATTAAAAATTTAAAATTATAATTTAACTTCAATAATTTAGTGGGTTTAGTTGATCAATACTAAATAAAAACATTCATTTGATAACTTTTTTAAAAAAATTAGTTAAAGTTTTACCCAACCAATTAGAATAATTGTTTACAAGTTAATTTTTATAAATTACATTATCAATTTTTCTCTCTGATCCATCAAATTTTTGGATTTTAAATTCTTGGAATATTGAATCATCTATGGTCATGAATTAGATATTATAAAAAAAATTGACAAAATGTAAAAAACATTAACAAAATATCACTAAAATAGACATAATATTAAATTGATATTACGTTAATATTTGGATTTTAAATTCTTGGAATATTGAATCATCTATGGTCATGAATTAGATATTATAAAAAAAATTGACAAAATGTAAAAAACATTAACAAAATATCACTAAAATAGACATAATATTAAATTGATATTACGTTAATATATGTACACGTAAATTTCTACTACATAAAATAAAAAATTAATCAGCAAAACAATAAACTTGAAAGATGGTCTATAGTATCTCTCACTGACCGCCATCGTCAACTATAGTGACCAACCTCGGTAGAAAGAAATAATAAGAAAAAATCTCCAGTATAAAACCCCAATTATCCCATTCCCATTTGATTTTGGGATAGACGACTAACACTAATCTAACATGTGAAGTCATCGTCATCTGCCAATTGGCTCGAACACCAAACCRCTAGTACCCCATTCTCCAATAAAGACCTAAAATCCTTAATAATGAACTAAAATCTCCCACACAATTAGTTACAAATGAACTCAACACTTAAATATTATTCTTTATTAAAAAAAAAAAAAGAGGTTCTCCATCATGAAGCAAGTTAAGCACTACTCATGCTCATGGAATACTCAAATTTCAAAGGATTTCACATTTTCAGGCAGAACCCTAGAGAAAGGAAGGGCAAGTGTAACATCAACTCAACAACATCAATTACAATTAAAGCTAAATTTATAAACAACTACATTCTAAGGCATTACATTCTACATTTTGCAAGAACCCCACTTGCTTGATCTTAATCAAAGTGTCTGTTTTCTGTTGAAATGAAAAAAAAAATAACCAAAAAAACGCCCACTTCCTTGATTAAGTACACTGAAGAACATATCTCAAATACCAGTATCCGTTCCACTCTGTCAAACCTCCAATTTCTCAAATCAAGACGGTCATTTCCATCATCTGCCCCTCAAAGAGTGGCAAGTACAAGGGTAGTTTAGTCACTTCACTAATGTCAGCTTCAAAGCCATTAAAACCCCATCTAAAGCTAGCTGCTGCAACTCTGATCTGCAGAGTAGACAACAAGAGCAACCGTTGAATTAACACAAATTTCCACCACTGAAACATGAGGGAATTAGTTTTCAAAACGCCAAGGAAAAACTCATCACCTTTGGCAATTAGTCCCTCAAATAATCTTATTTCGTACTTCTTCAAGTTTCTTCAGTATCTCACCGGGAGTTCGATCCAATTCGTCTGCAATCTTTCTCTGCATATCTAGGGGAAGGGTCGGGAACTGCTCACACAGATCCCCATCAATCACATCCTGGAAAGATCCATCAAGATTTGGAAGAAAATTAGTTAAGTTCTCAAATGAACAATATTGACTTTTGAATGGCACGTATGATTAGACATTAATGTAAGGAAAATAAGCAGCAGTTGAGTGATGGCACTGCAGCCCAAGATTAAGTGACTGCAGAAATTTCGGTTTCAACATATATAACATGTAAGGGAAAAGAGGACATTAAATTTCATTAAGAGCAGAAGAACAGTCGAATCATTCAGGAATCCATCAAAGGCACATCTCAAAAGATCGATAAACACGAAATAAAACAAACAATAATGAGGAGCAGCAACGAATTTACCTTAACAGGAAAATAAGCTGATCTATAACCCATATGATCTCTTCCACACAAAGGTGGATGTTCCTGTCTCATGTGCATCTCCAAGTGAGAAAAGAAATCAACATCATCACGGGAGGTGAAAGCATGCAATGCTCCCAAGCTTCCCATCACTGTACCGTACAAAATGCATTCTCCACCTCCTGGAATCAAGGATGCCTTTTGCAATGATGTGACCACATCACCGATATGAAACTGTATGATCTCCTCAACTTTGTTAGGAGCCCCATTAAGCTTCCCCTGCTCCCATTTTATCTTTCCACCTGTTGGATCTTCTTCAATCTCATCTGAGACATCTTGTGGTAGCCGCACAAAATAGATATTTCCAAACTTGTCAGCACCTGCCATTGTGTCAAAATCTACATGATATGATGCTGTAAGCCATCTAGGAACAGAATCATCAGCAAATATGTATAGTTGATTCTCATCCCGTCTATACTTGCAATAATGGAATGACTGCAAAAGCAAATGAGAAAAAGACAGTGTTGAGTTAGCACAAACTTGACACAAAATAAACAAAATCTTAAATGCAGGTCATAAGCTTTCCTGAGTATTGCAGTTTTTCTTACAAGAAATACAATTTCAGCGATGAAACAAATCAATAATAGGTATGACAAAAAATAAAAAATTTCTCGATCAAATACTAAATCATTACCATTAAAGATAGTATTGGATAAGGTTTTACAGTTAACAATTTGTCTGACCAGAATGATGAAATTAATGTAGTCCACAACAGCACAGGACACATCATACATGGAACAAATCTGAGAAGGTTGATATGTTTTTGGTGGTGGTTTAAATGATCCAGTTTTTAAATGAAAATAAAATTTTTTTAACACCTTTGCTATACTGTATTGTGCCGGAAAAGGCTAATAAGGAAGGGATCTTATCACAGCAGTTAGAAAATTGAAGCAAATATTAATATAGTAATATGGTGGCATACCTCCTGAATGTCACCAACATAAATCCGATCACGATATGTCTGAATAGACACAATTGTATTCGGGAACAACTTATTTTCACATTTTCGAAGCAATCTTCTTTTACCCAAATCATACAGTCTGAGAACAGATCCTATTCCCGCAAGTAATCTCCCCTGGAACTGAGCTAAAGCGAGAGGAACACCTTCAACTTGTGTCTTGTGCAAAAGCTCAAGGGATTTTCCGTCCTCTAGAAAACGATAAATATGAATATATCCAGCAATTAAACTCCTTTTGGGGAAAAACTGCAGCCCCTTAGCAGTACCAACAGCTAAAAGGGTTCCATATTCCTTGTCGTGGAAATTCACAGTGCAAACACTGAATGCAGCTTCATTGTCCTGAAGCTCCAGCAGACAAGTTGTAGTGGCTGACCTAGGGTCAAGAACTCGGATGCAAGAAACCCATTTTTCAGCCTCTGACTTCGGGTAACCGTAATGCTCATCAGATAAAGGATCATCCTTATCCTCATCATCTCCACCATTCTCCATTTGCTCCATTGCGCCATTTTCCCCAGCCCCTGCAGCCTCAAAGCACTCCTTTCTAGCGGCTTCTCGCTCTTCTGCTGTGAATGCTCCTTGATCACTCTCGATAACAACCAGTAGTTTTCTCCTAGGTTGAAGCACAAACTTCCTTGGAGTGTACCTAAGTGGAATAACTGTTTCATTTAATGTTTCTCCCAATCTCTCAATGGTAAAAACCCTCAAGAAATTTCCAGCTACAGCAACAACACCTTCCGCACACTGATCCGATGAAAATGAGCTTGCATATTCAAGAGTTTCATATGATAGTGGTGTCAATAGAAAATGCCCTTGATGAATATAACCAAGCCAAGGTCTACTTGAGAGGCAAAGAATTGCACGCCTCCCCCTCAAAATTACAGAAAATAGTTTGGGTGCTCTTAATCCTAAGAACCGGGATCGAGAATCAGAAAGTTGACCTGTCACCATATCCACTACTGTTCTGAACAAAACCCCAGAGTGCAATGCAGCATTTAGGAAAAGGCTAGCAGGATGATCTGCACCATCCTCCCCACCTACTGATGCCAGAACTTCAAGAAATAGGAGAGATTCTGGAGCTGAAGAAACACTCTGCACACTTAAAATCTGCATACAGTCATCAGGATCCAATGATAGAATTCGTATAGTGTTGTCATAAGAACCAACTGCTAGGAAACGGGAACGTTGTCTCCCTTCAGGTACTGGGGCAATGTCCAAGCAAGCCACATCTCCAGACATTTCATGCTTCTCCACCTCCATTAGCTGACCAGTCATGTCCACCTCGAAATAAATAAGTTCTCCCCCACTCAAGGCAATCACCACTTGAAGCCTATTAGAACCAACCTTAACAATGGTCCTTTTACCAGGAGTTCTCCACTCATTAATACGCCCATCTTCCCTAATATGCCTAATGCCATTTGGATGGACTTGCATAAGTGAATCATCACCTATCAAAGAAACAGAAAGGGAAGGTGTAGTGTCAAGAAACCCACTATCACTAACTTCTTCAACTGTCTCACCAATAGAAAGAACAAGCGTTGCATTGGCAAATGACACAACAATGTATGCGTCAAACTCATCATTGATGTTCTTTTTCACAGTCCAAACAGCACTAGGAACACCAGGAAGTTCTGACACAGCCATTTCACTGATGGCCAAACCAGGTCTCAATATTCGCAGAGATGATCGAGGACCACGCCCACAGAGAGTAAATATCTGTGGTGTTTCTTCCTCAAAAAGATTTATGACTTTCATGTCCATTATAGGCATTAAGCTCTCAACTTGATCAATCCTAACAAGGTTCTTAAGCCTCCTAGGCTGGAAAAAGACGGGCTGAAAACCTTCTTCAGTTTCCATCAGAGTAGCCGAGGAAGACTCAACGTCAGCATCTTCCCCTATAGCTTGGAACTGGTATAGTGAGTGATTTCCAAATTCTGAAGCAGCAAATAGAAATCCTGATTTCAATACACACATTGAAGATGTAACTGGAATTGTATCAAAATACTTGATCTTCAGTTCTTTGACGCTGTCATTGTTATGTTCCAAAGTAACCTTAAAAATATCTCCATATTCTGTCTGTAAAAGAAAGAAAAACATCGTCTTTTGCTTATGCATAGCTGCTGAAACTATAAGCACACCACGTTCAGCAGGTAAATCCACACGCCTAGGAATCACAGCTCTCACATCCGGATGCCCCTGATTCTTATAAATGACAAAGTTTTCAGCACAAACCAACACTCCACTGGGGCCATCCCCACCCCCCGGAACAGTAACAAGCATATTAGCACCATTATCAACAGGTTCCGACCACTTCCTAGAGACATGATTGAGACCAAGATCAAGTTCATAAAAGGTCAAATTCTTCTGGGCCTCGGTTGCCGCCAACCCAGTAGAATCCTGATCTGCCTCCGAGTAATCCAACTCAATTGCAGCAAATATAGGATTGTCAAATCCACAATCAACTCCACAAATTGAATAGACAATCGTATGTGATTTGTGAGCCTCAAGCGGCGACGAAATAGTTAGCCTCGCTGCCGTGTCCCTGTTCAACACGTAAACAAGCTTCTGCTTCTCACAAGCCCCAATCATAACAGCCCTTCCTTTGGGATCAATAGCCAAATACTGGCCCGGAACTATCCGGCGACAACCAGACTTCCCAAAAGTCTCCTGGTGTATCTTGTCAAACACATTTTTATCCTTATTATACTCGAGAATAACAATCCGACCCGAATCGGACCCAACAACGATATAATCTTTCTGAGACCCAGTAAGCCTGAATTGAGCTAAAGACCGAATCGCACCAAAGATTTCAACCGAAAGAAGAGTTTGGATCTTACCACTATCATCGGGACGAATAAGATCCAGGACCTTCCCTCTGGCCACGACTATCTCCTGCGTCTTCCCACCGGAGAAATTTCCATTTATAGCAGAGACAATCCCGGTAGCTCGTTGCAAAGTGAGGCTGTAAAGGTACATAGCTCGAACACAAGATAGCACAAACTGTGAGTGGCTGAACTCTACTTCCCCGGGAAAAATGTGGAGAGAAATGGAGGTTCTGAAAGGTTTCAGAAGAACTTCGTCACGAAGACGAAGGTGAAGAGATGGGGTTTTCCCGGACTTGTTGTAAACCCCTGAAAATGCGTCAAAGTTGCGATAATTCGAGTGCGGTATAAACCCTAGCTGGGATTAAAGCAGACGATGAGCGCGGCAAAGATGTTGCCCAATTGACGACTTCGTTCAAATCTAACGGCTGAGATTCTGAACAAACGATCCGAGCTTAAGAATGCGTGATGCACAGGATAACAGAGGGGCCCACGGGTTTAGCTGTGACGTGGCGATTCTCCAGTTTCAATTTCTAGATCTTAGATGAAAAGTTATGGGTGAAAGTATCCGGTTCGATTCGGTTTTCGAATAGTGAGGGAAAACCCGAAATCGGTTCGGTTCGGTTCAAAATATTTCATTTTCTATCTATTTCTAACTATTCTGCTCTACCACTAAGCTAATAATCAGTCGTGTGGATCTCTCACTAGGGTCGAAAATTTTATGAGAGTTAAAAAGAAGTGTAGATTCTTAATTTATCACCAAATCAAAATGAATACTACAACACTAACCACCATTAAATTTATAACAAATATAAGAGAGAAATATAGGAAAAATACATATTTTTAAAAGTTATCAAATTTTTGTTGATGATGACCCGTAACCACCAGTATTGTTAATCTTGGGTTGAAGGAAAAAAAAAAGTTGTGTTTCTTTTTTGTCAAAATTTCAATTTTTATTTATAATTTAATTTTAGAATTGTTACCATTCAAATAATAAGGTTAGAATTTTAGATTTTTTTTAATCGAACCTGAGAGTGAGGATTCAAATTTTCGATCTTTTGACAAAAAATAGGTATCTAGTTGAGCTACACTGAAATTGACAATTCATGCTGCATTATTACTCCTTTAATCTGTATAAGCAACATTGGTAGGAGTCAAATTTTTTTATCACTCAGAGATAAAAGCTGAAAGTTAACAATAGGATCAAAATTGAAAAATAATATAACACCAAATTAATGACATATTTTTTCCAATATGTGTTAAGAATTAGGTATAATTTATTAAATATATCATCCACTTAGATTTTTAGATTTTAGTTTTTTTTTTACTTTGATTTTTAGATTTTAGTGATAATTAAAAAAAAACAAACTGATTATTTTTTACTCGTGATCTATTTATTTTAGGAATATTATGAATGGTACACTAAATCCATTAACAATATTTATTTAATCACTTCCATTAATCAATCCACTCTCAAACCAATCCATCACCAACAAACCCATTTGCCTGTTAGCTTTTTCTATAAAAGAATCAAACTAGCAAATGAGAAAACTCTCATATATGCATCCTCTCCCCTTTGAGAAAAATGGCCAACCTCCATTTTCATTCTTTGCTCAACCTCACAATCTACGTTCTCTTGATCTTCACCACCATCATCAACCTCTCCTCCTCCGCTCGAACCTTCGAAAACCCGACTCGAAATCGCCACCGTAACCGTCGCAAGCTTTCATTTCTAATGAGAGATGTGCTCAATGTAACAACTCTTCACCCTTCATCCAAATCACCAACCACCAAGGCCACCAGTGAATTGCCATTTTCAAAACCCTTAGGTCTTTTCCCTCCCAACGGGGGAATCCCCATACCCGAAACCTACGCCACGACGACAACATCGCCTGTTACCAATTTGTCTGGTCAGACGCTCGATCTATCGACAATTGGGATATCGTTTCCAGTCAGAGCAACACTCCAAGAGCTGGAGTATGGAGCGGTGAGAGAGATTAACGAGGAGCTGTTCGAGACTTCAAGGCATAAATTACAAGTTGTCGTAGGGAGAATTGAAGGGTTTTATGTAGAAAATGGCGAAGATAGTGGTGGACATATGATGGCTATGACAGTGTATTTTGGTAAGGGCGAGGCAAAAGATGGGCTGAGGTTGTTTGGAGTTTATAGGGGTGATCATGTGAAGGAGTCTCACGTTGCTATAATTGGTGGCATTGGCAAGTACCTTGGTGCTAACGGCTATGCAACTTTGAAGAAATTAGTTAGGGCAAAGCTTGGAGTCAATTACAACAAGTTCATAGAGTTTGATGTTTATTTGAGCAAATAAAGATGCCTATCCCAAAGTTTGTATTGGGATATATTTTGATAATTTTGAACGATAGTATATTTAAAAAATTAAACTAATATTATGAATTTGAACTAAGCAATTTGATCATGTTTTTGTAATATGTTCACAACCTTAAAGTTGACTATGAAATTAGACGTGTGGGTATTGTATTTGAGTATAATTCATTTGTTTTAATTAAGAGCAAAGGGTGATGTAACCATATAATAAACATGCTATATTGGCTATGTTGCCAAATATAACGATAGATTTCTACCAATATTTTATTAACTGGCAAGGGAAACACGTCCATTCATATTGTTAAGCTAGAAAAATATTGACTCTGTAGCAGTGAGGAGGAATTTGGCTTACCACCCTTGAGAAAAATTGACAACTCAAGGATTTAAAAAAAAATCTATATTTTTTAATTTTTCTCTCTTAATTGTTAAACATTAATTAATAGTGGTAAGGACAAGATTCTGTTAACAAGTCAAGTATTTTTCGTTAAGTTGTATACACTTTCGCACCTTTATGCCTATGAAATGACTATAGATCTATATGGCTTGTGAACTTTTGAGAGGATGTGTGTTGCAGCTGGCTTGATCATACAAAAACTTGCAAGCTCGAAGCATTATATGTTTCAAAAAAAAAAGGTAGGATGCTAGTAACTTTCCTGCTGAATGAGTTGTTTTTGCTATGATTGAAGGGATAATTGGAGCTCTTTCCTAGGTAAAGCAAGGACTCGGACCCGTTCTAACTTGGAAGGTGAGAAATCACCCCGACCTCATACTACTGCACCATCCTCAAGGGACATCCTATTGAATAAGTTGTAAGATTTAAAATATGGGTATTTAATAATACATCACGACAATTGATATATGGATGATATATATATTTAGTATAGGCTTTAAAAAGTTGAGTCAAAATATCTTCTAAAAACTAAAGATTATTCACTAATGTCAACCATAGTATCGCTTAATTAATTAATGTATTAATTACTCTTTTCTAAAAGTTGAAGATTTAAATCTACCCCTCCTTATCGAATTCAATAAAAGAAAAAAAAACCATTGACTAATGATAGAAACTAATTGATAAGATCTAACTAAATATAGGGAACTAGGCACAAAACTACAGCAAGACATAAAATATATGGCTAAAGAAATACAATTTAGCAGAAATTTTAATATATACATGGCTCTAAAATATCAATTTTAATCTTCACTCGCATTTTTCTAAAACATTACGATCCAAACGAAATGTGATAATTCAAACATAAGATCAGTTCGATTATGGACGATGGAAGTGACAAGTCGCCTATTGATCTGAGGTGGACACCTAATTTAACTAAGGTATGATGAATTACAAATAAAAATCTTATACTGACATGGTATTTGGCACCATATATAAAGTTTTGGTTTAGTGCTTAAATTAAGTTTATAGTAAGATTTTGTATAAATTACATTCCTTGCACTGACTCATAGAGATGAGAACCACTACCTATCATATATCATCGCTTTGTCCTACCTAACAGTCAACGAATTTTATACTCTTGACATCCTTGGAAAGGTGTGGTGTCGGGCTTTAACCAAGATCAATCATAGGCAGCCTTTACTTAGCCCTTCTCTTCTTCACCATGAGTCTAGACTGCAACGTGGCAGACTCTGATTCTATCGGTTATAAAATCTATTTTTAAAAGTTTATTTACTAATATAACGTCCAATTTATAAGTTTTGTTGAAATTGACTTAAAACTCTTTTATTGGATTTAAAACTCATTTGCTTCCTTTTAGAGTATTACAATTCAAACCCAGAAGCCAATCAAATTTTGTATATATCTTTTAAAGAAGGTTACTTACTAAATCCTAATCTCCAATGTTCAGATGAACTAAAAAACTCATTGAATTTAAATAATTTAGTTTCGAACGTAACCAATAAGATCACCAAACCACCAGTCTTTTGATAAAAGAATAAGGAAACACATAAAATAGGATCAAATGTATATAAAATAGATTACTAAATACACTAAACGAAACTTTATATTATTGTAAGTGTTACAGTTTATGAAAAACCTCAACCAATCCAACTTTCAATTTCTCACCAGACCTTCATATATTTATACAAAAATGGAGGTTTAGGTTTCTTCAAAATTACCAACTCCATTATCAGCTCCAACTTCTCTCTGATTGAAAAATTATATAAACCCACACGAGGCTTCACCTTCTTCTTCATCCAAATATCTCTCAAACTTCAATCAAATTCGAAAAAAAATGGCTAAAACGCCTCTGTTCTTGATATTCTTCTTCTTGGTGGCTTCTACTGGTCTCAGATCTGCCATTTCTGCCAGAATTCTGCTCGATGAGGATGACGCTGACGTCGCCGAGTCTCAGCCCCAAGCGGCGGTTACTCCTCCTCTCGCCACCGTCCCATCGCCGGCCACTTTTCCGGCGCCTCAGGTTTGGATAACTATACTCATATTTAATTTCTTCCTATAGTTTAGATCGGTTTGGGAGTTCTAAATTGTATTGTTAATATAATATAAATAAAAAGATTAAAAATACTGTACTCAATATAAATATAGACCAGTGAGCACTCCTATTTTGTCAATTGTTGTTAAATAGAAGAGAAGAAAACATATATTTTGTTTTTCTTAAAAATAAAGATATTTTAAATTAAGGAAGATAAATAGTCACATGTTTGAAACAAGGTAAAAAAAGGGAAAAAATTTGTCTTATGAGTTTCAGGACCACATTTAACCACATTGACTCCGTAGTAAATTGAAATAGGTTGCTTTTCAGATTTTTCTATTATTTTATTAAAATTCACATTTCATCCATATCTCTTTTATTTTTTTTCTTTTACTTTTTTTTCAAAAGGCATTTAACTTTTCTCCTCCCTCTTCTCTCTTCCTAAAATCTCTTACCTTCCATTTTTTTCTGCATGTCCTTCACTTTTTCTCTCTCACTAGCTCATTTGTTCTATATCCTCCATTATTAGAACTTGTTTTATGTGTGTTTCTCACGTTATTGCTACGGACCTCCCAATGTAATCAAACTACTCCAAACATATGTAGTATTTCATTTTAAAGATGGAAAAAAGTCATAAAAGAAAAATAAAAAGAAAATCAAGATTGTTTGCCTTTAAATTGTCATTGTTTAACTTGGGTAACAAGAGTGGATGAGATAAGAGAGAAAAAAATGAAATATGAGAAATTTTAGGGAGGGAGAGGATGGAGGAGAAAAGTCAAATGTCTTTTGAAAAACAGTAAAGAAAAAGTAGAAAAGATATTGAAGTGATACGAATAAGATGTGAATTTTAATAAAATAATAGAAAAATCTGAAAGTAACATATATGTCAATTTACAATTGGGTTATGCCATAATCAGAAGGAACATGATCTAAATCTTTTGGGGGTAAGTTTTTTCCAAAAAAATATATATAATAAAAAAATATTTTGCTAGATGAATCTTGATCTCAAGATTATTCAATATTTTTTAATACAACACCTGCGTGGAGGATCAAACCTAGAGACTATTGTTTTGAATTACACCAAAGATTAAACATACATATAAAGTTGGTTTTGAGTCCATTGGTTATTAACAGGTTGGCCCAGGTATAACACCCTCAATCAACACCCAGATTCCGACGACCACTCCTTCTCCGGCCACCGCCGGTGCCGACGACGATATTTCACCAACACCAATAATACCCCAAACCAACCCACCAGTCGTAGCCCCCAATGCAGCTGCAGAAGACGACGAAGATGACAACATTATTCCCACAACAACAACAGCCACTCCGGCCGCCGCCGTCGCACCTATCACACCATCCCCAACCGGCCCATCTCCGGCAACGACGGCGGGCGGCGCCGAACCATTCTCATTCTTCATGCACGACATCCTCGGAGGGTCCCACCCATCGGCAAGAGTGGTGACCGGAATCGTGGCGAACTCCGACAGCAGCGGCATCGCATTTTCAAAACCGAACGACAACTTCTTCCCGATCCAAGGAACTCTCCCGTTGCTCAACAACGACAACCTCAACAACATCATCAACAACAACAACAACCTCCCTTTTCTCGCCGGCTTCAACGGCGCCGGCGGCGGCAGCAGCAACCTCCTCCTCCAGAACAGCGCCAACAACGGCGTCCTCAACGGCGGCGACGACAACCAGCCCTTCGTCACCGCCGGCCAGCTCCCCTCCAGAGTCACTCTCCAGCAGCTCATGTTCGGCTCCGTGACGGTGGTCGACGACGAGCTGACGGAAGGCCACGAGCTCGGGTCGGCGGTGATGGGGCGGGCGCAGGGGTTCTACTTGGCGAGCTCGTTGGACGGGACGAGCCAGACGGTGGCGCTGACGGCGTTGTTCCACGGCGGCGGCGGCGGTGGGCACGAGCATGGAGTTGTTGAGGATAGTATAAGCTTTTTTGGGGTTCATCGGACGGCGACGCCGGAGTCGCAGATTGCGGTGATCGGAGGGACGGGGAAGTATGAGAATGCTAAAGGTTATGCGACGGTGGAGACGCTTCATCATCAGGAGGATCAGCACACGACGGACGGTGTGGACACCATTGTTCATTTCACAGTTTATCTCTCCTAAATTAATTTAAGGAGTTATTTGGGTTTATAAGCTTTGTGATTTGTATTGAAAGTTTCGTGTTTCTTTACGTATCTCTGTGATTATCAATGTTCTGCTGTTTTAATATGAAATTTAATGACAAAGTTAAGTTTTAAGAAAAATTCTCAGAAAAATTATCTCACACTATATATACACACACACGCCGAGGAGTAAGTCTTGTTAGAGAGATCCTTGTCGTCAGAATCGGATGTCCTTATCGTCATAATCGGTGTTCTGACTCATGTGCCTTCCAAGATTAGGGATCTTCGAGCCTGATCAAAATATCAATATAAAAACGTAGTCGCAAGCCTTTCTTCCGTGGGCTAGCCTTGTTAATTGCTTCATCTTTTCATCTCTTTTGGAGACATTGGGAAGACTTGACACACTAAAGTTAGGAGGCATTCGGGAAGCAACTAGCCGCTTCTAGTCAAGCTTCTATCAGATACTCAGCTTTTAAGTGCGGCTAACATCTTTTACACATTTGTATGAAGTAATAGATTCGTCCATACCATGAACGATAGAGTTTGTAAGACCACGACTAATCCTAAAAGGAATGAATGGGAAAAGCAAAATATATATATATATATATATATATGTCATATCAATGAAAAATTCTAGTAATATTTTTACCTTACAAATCTCTCGCTTAAGGCTTACATTCGTAAGGGGCAAAGAGAAGCGTTTTTACTAATGAGAAAGCAAACAAGTCAGCGTGAAGGTTCAAGACTTAGCCGAGTACTCCTCCAAATTACTAGTATGACTATGAAAACCATGAGCATCAACATGAAGATTCCATATCCAAGTAGTAGTATTAGGACATTTAGCTGCTGTTGTTCTCGACCAAAAACGTGGTTAACCATATCGAATAAATTCATCAATCTCGTCAAGACGAAAAACGTGTCTCAACTACAGCCAACTCTCCAATTTCAAAAAGAGGTGGCTGGTCTCAATAAAGAGGATAGTATAAGTCAAAGTTGGTTGGGCCTTGATTTTGATGATATTAGAAAGTCTTCGGGAATCTTTCTAGACAGATACGACGACTCCGGTTTGTTCTTGTCGCTCGACAGCCGTCTCCACTCACAATCCCAACATCACAATTCCATTTTTATCTAAGTTAAGGAGTAACTGGGCTTCTCGATGTGGTATTTCGTTAGTGATTCCTTCACGAATGACGGGTGAAGTTGAAGCAACGGACCCGCCTCAATTTGACCCGATATAGAAACAATCCAAATTGAAAGTAAGGGTGGATGCTTTTTTTTTCTTTTTCTTTTTGGTCTGTGGGGTGAGATTCTCTGATTTTTTTTCATTGAAAAAAATATATGATTAAAACGGTTAAAGAGTTAAATGTTCAGATTGGCAGGAGGACGTCACTGAATTATGTTCATGTTAGAAAAATTATATATAATATAAGAAAATGAGAATATATATAATTTTTTTGTTATTTAAATATACATTTAAGTAACAAAAATTTGAAAGCTAAATCTTAAAATCAGAACTTAGGAAAAAGCTGAGCTTGGTAGTGAATTTTGAAAATATAGAAAATAAAAGATCTCTCTCTGATAGAAACTAATATACTTGAATTAATATAATTTTCTTATTAACAAATAGATAAAAATAATAAAATAATTTCGTTAAATTAAAGCATATACCATTTCGATGTTGAGTGGAAGAGATTAAAAAATATATATAGGAATTGRAGTAGGACCTCCCGCTCTAATACCATCTTAAGAATAAATAAACCATCACTCAAGCCAAAAACTTAAGCTGATGGATTAGATAAATTTAATTCATTTATATGAATTCTAACAAAACCTACCAATCGACATTAGTTCGATCGACCAAATCGATTTTTTAGCTTCATCTATTCATCTCTAGATACGCTTTGTGAAATATGATCATAAAATAATGAGAAATATTAATTCACGATTTTTAATTATAGTGAAAATTATAAATTTTTAAATTAGYGATGAAAAGGAAAACTTAAATGTCAACCCCCAAATAAAGTGTAAATATGGTGCCTTTACTTTTATGTTTTTGTCTATTTGGTCTTTATATCTCAAAACGTCTATTATGATCTTTGTGCTTGAAAAAAAGTAGATGGCACTTTTAGTCTTTGTTGGTAAAATCATCACACAAATTTTATAAGCCATAGAAATATTTTAATATATGACCAATAATATTAATATTGCATAAACTTGTTAAATGTATAAGTTGAAATGATGATTGAAAAAGTGAGATAAATAATAAAATAAATAGGCCAAAATGACCTCTTCTAAAAAGTAAAAAAGAAAAAAATAAACCTTTTGAGTATTATAAGAACAAAAATAAACCAAAGTTGAAAATATATTACTTAAAATGGTGTTGTTATGCAACCACTAATTTAATATAATATTTAATTTGAAAAGTAGAAATAAAGAATTTGTATTGGATACATMGTGAATGTTGAAAATATAGAAATTTGTTTTAAAAAAATGTTTCACATAATCTAATATTTGAAAATGATAAATGAGTGTAGATTATATATATATTTTTAAGTACCTCTCGTGTGATAGGAATTCGAGCTCACGACTATTAAATATATATCTTGATCCGTTGTTAGGTTGAAGTTCGCCGTTTGAATATTATTTAGTTGATAAATAAATAAAAATGATGAGATAATTTCTTTAAAGTATACACCATTACAATGGTGGAGAGATAGATTCGTAACGAGAGACACTTCACTCTATATATTCATAATTTAAGAACATATATTAAAATCAAAAGCAAAAGGAAAAAAATGTATGCGTTTTTAAAATTAAAGGGAAACATTTATAGTTAAATTACAAATTTGTTGTCAAAGCGAGTATAGCTCAATAGTAATTGACATATACTTSTAAGCATAAGATTTTGAGTTCGAATTCCTTCCCCAACATGTTGTATTAAAAATTGAATTTTTATAGTTTCAAAAGTTTTCACTCGATTGGTTCGGGTTGAATTTTTAGTAGTTTTAAAAATTTTAATTTATTTCCAATAATTTGGTCAACTTCATGAATTTTTTCTATTGTAATTATATTGAATATAAAACATGTTTTCTAATTCAGTTAACTATCTAGCTATCTGCATTCTGATTTAAATTAAATTTGGGTAAAGAATGGAAAAAAAAATAAGTAGATTTTGTAGTCGGTAAAAAAATGGTTTATGAATAATTTGTTTGATTTACCTAGGGGTGAAAAAAAGGTTGGTTCGGTTTGGTTTAACCTCGTTTTTCTTTTTTCTTTTTTTTTTTTTAATTTTTGACCAGCCCTCCCTCCTTTTCTATCCCTTTGATTTGAGAAAAAATAAAAAAAAACCAAGACATGTGATCGTGAGGACATCAAACTTGTTTGCAACAACGTTGAAATATTATTCACATAGTATCAAGCTTAATATTAACCTTTCAAATTTAAAGAATAATGCTTAAAACATAAAAACATATTAAAAAATTCTAGGTTGAAACTAAACTTAAAACTATAAAGGCTAAACTATAMTTTTTAAAATTATGAGATTAAGCAAATACGATGTGTATTAGATTTATATTACTTGACCTACCATTTTTATTATTTATTTTTATTTTTATTTACTTTTTCAAAACATAAAAATGAGAAAAGTAATAATAAAAGCAATTATCTCCCTCTTKTSCACGTGTCCGACTTTATTCCAAATAACATTATTTTCGAATTTTGRCAGGAGACAAAATCTTTCCTCAGATGCGCTTGTCGGATGGTAAAATAATCAGATTTTTCTATTGAATACCAAATAATGAGAAAATTTAATCAAAGTTTAGCTATGGTGAAAACTATATAAAATTTAAATTAATGATGAAAAAGGATATTTCTGTCTAAAATTTAAATAAATATAAATAAAAAGATATTAAAACTTCAATCGATTTAAAAGGACAAATGTAGAGAGATAAAAACCATGATTTTTTTTTTAAGAAAATGATCGTATGGATAATAAAAACAAATAGTGATTACTTATTTCCAATTTTACGACACAAATTTAGTACCAACCTACGTTTTAGCTTACGTGCATCTCGACTAATCTCACGAGACAACGTGTCGAGAAATACATAAGAATTACTAATTTCTAAAGTAGGTACTCATTATAAGGCTCGAACTTATTCACTCTTAATTAATCCTAGTTTTTTTAGAACAATGAGTCACCCATGATGAGGTCTAAAAGACTAAATATATGTTTTGTTTGAATGTTTTTTAAAATTTAGTTCTTAAAAAGTTTCAACTAAGTTATTTACGTTTTAAATTTAGTCTCTCATCATTAAATAGTATAAACTTATATAGCATGATGCTTAGTAAATTAACATACATTTATAGGAGAAAGAAGATAATCTAGAGAGGGAGTTTCTTATTCTTCCTCCAAAATTTCAAACCCTTMAAATATTGATAAAAAGTTCAAATTTTCTTCTCCTGATGATCATTTTTCTACTCTAAATTTTTGAAAAGGTTAACCCTCAATTAATTTCATCATTAATCAATTTTAACATTTACCAATTATAAAGAACTAAATCGAAAAATGTTGAAACATAAAAGCTTTTCAAATGGCATGAACTAGATTTAGAAAAATATTTATATATTATGAACTAAAACATATATTTAACTTATTTACGAAAAATAAATGATACACCGTGCTACTACAATATAAAAGTAAAAGTGTCCAACATAAGTTTAGTCCAATGGTAATCGAGCGATAATCAAGATGTCATAAATTCGAATCTTTCCATGCTGTTTAATTATCTTATTAAAATAATAATAATAATAATAATGCAAAAGTGGAGGGAAAAAAAACCAAACTTTTTTGGAGATGTGGACAAGAGGGTTGGTATCATATGAATTATCACATTTGTGGTTAACTGTTTGGGCACTAAGGACAAGACTATTCCAAAACATTATGATATGAAATGGTCCATAATTATTCTTCATGAATTTTCACACGTGCACTTTTCAAAATTCCATCATTAAAAAAATATGAATATATTTTCCTTTTATTTTTTTATTTGTTTTTTTCTTTTTAAGTTTGTTTTACGTTTCAAGTTTCAAGCTATATATATATATTAAAAAAAAGGGTACCCTGCAAAAATCCTCAATTAACTATAAAGATTGATATGAAATAAATTCATGAAATCGTTGATATTATGTTATTATGAACAAAATCAATCTTCAAAACATTAAACATGTAAAAGGAGCTTCAAATTTGTTCTTGATGTAAACAAAGTAATGAAGACTAAAGGATGGTATTATTTTTTATTACTTTAATATACCTTTTTAATTCTTCCCCAATTTTAACCTACTAAATAAAAATATCTACTTAATTTTCATTGATTGATCGGTTCAAAATCAATATTTATACAAGGCTCTTAAATTTCAAACATTATAATGAAATAGTTCATAACTACTCTTCACAAAGTTTTACACTGCCATTTTCAAAACCCATCATTTTAAAAAGGAAAATACTTCATTAAATTGTTGATAAATAAGAAACTTAAATGTTAAAATAGAGAATTATTTATAAAAATAATTAAAATGATGATCAACACTGAAATTAGTGTTGGGCAAACCATACCTAAAAACTGTTATTTCAAAAATCTATTTTTATAAGATTTATTTCATAACCTTTTTTCTATTGGTTTCTCTTACTTTAAAAAATAAAAAATAAAAACAAAACTGTACCATAAAACAAACTAAAACTATAAAACTTCGATTTTTTATTTTGAGAATATATGAAATTCTTGTAATCACATTCTTGAACTTTAATTATTCGCATAAAATTATGAAATCCTCAAAGTTAGGTCGTTAGTTGTTTTATTTATTTATTTATTTATTTTTGAGAAATAAGTTATATTGTTAATTGTTATAACTTTTTACTAATGGGCAATTTGAATATATACCAACAAAGTAATTTTTTTTTGGATAGATCAAACAAAATTAATTCTGAAAAATTAAACACCTGCAAAAAAAGAAAAAAAAAAAGTCCTTAGACTCGTATTTGATAATGTAACCAGATTTATGTGATCATACTTAATTAACACTGCATGTATCTTTTTATCGACCATACATCTTATTGTTACAAGACGACATCATGATGTTACATCATAGTGATACAATCAAATGAAGGTAAAAAGTAATTTTATTAGCCCAATCATAAGCCACCTTAGTTGGAGCCAAGCCTCATCCTCAGGCCAATGGTACAAATGGAAGAATGACGTGTAAGGTAGGTTCGAGTACTATAGCAAGACGTAAGATATTATCTTTTAAAATATTTTAATTCCTTAATTTATCTGTTTAATTTCCTTCCAATTTTAACCACAAAATAAAAATATCTACTTGCGTATAAGATCTTTTTATAAGCTGATTAGTGAAAAATCAATATCAACGKCAATAGTTTTGTAAGACTTTTAAAATATAAAAATATTAAGAGATATATTAAAAAGTTTTATACAAATGCGATCCACATAAATAARATATTAATGATAAAAATTTACTAGTTTGTGACATCTTTACCTATCYTTTTTTATCTCTTAGTCTAAATAAAATTATCAACGTGTAAAGTTGTTCATAATACTTTATTATTATTAGTATTATTATAAACGAGATTTTGACATGTTTTTTGTCTTTGTTATTGATATTTAATTTATTGGTTGGGTCCTTCTCAATTATTATTTACATTTTCATTCATTTTTTAAACATGGATTTGACTATTGTCAATAATAATTAACGAAAAATATTTGTTTTCTTTTATCACATTATGGCAGTGACTCCAGAGATACTTTTATTTACTCAAAATCTTCTCTTGTAATTCTATTTATTATTTTGGTTAAAACTTCCATCGTCACCTTCAATTAAATTCCAAAACAGATGATACTGTATTATCTATCCACACAAATAATTGAATATTAATAAATACATTTTTTATCAATTAAAAAAATTTTAAAACGGTGTAATGTAAATCGGGATTCAAATTCATAGGTCTAAGTTATATAAATAAATTTAAGGTTAAAAAACACATTAGTCTCCATACATAATAATTTAGTCCAACGTACTTTCACTAAAATAACAATCTAGTTCTTAAATTTTAGTTTGTAATGATTTAGTTCATATCGTAAAAATTTTTATTAAAATTAAGTGTCAAATTTTATCATATYACAATTTAATCTTTTAAGTTATAAACATGTTTGGTCCCTCTATAGTTTATCAATAATCTATATATATAAGAAACTTAATAAAAAAAATCATGATAAGGACAAAATCGTTACCAACTTTAAATTACAAGGACTAAATTGTTATCAATTTGAAAATACAGGGACTAAATCGTTACAAATTAAATTTCATGAATTAAATTATTACTTCAGCAAAAGTAGTTAGATTAAAAATATTTTTTAACCAAAAATATTTATAGTACTATAGMATACATATTCTATATTTCATCAATTATTGATAAACAATTCTTAGATATTGTTACGTATCATCTTTAAATGATGCTAATAGGACTTTGAAAGGCCTCGGAAATTTTTATTAGAAAAAGATACCAATATATTTCACAAAGCTTACATAAAAATACAAAATTTTTCCATAATAAATACAAATCAGGTATTATTTTTTTCGCGAACAAGTATAACTCAGCGGTAATTGGAATATATCTAGTTGTGAATTTGAATTGTAGAAAGTTATTTATTTATTTATTTTTGTAAATTAGTGTAGTTATGGTAATTTAACAAAAACGAAATGAGTCTGTAACATATATATATATATATTAAAGTTTGTCCATATTGATTGAATAGTAAATTGGAAAATAAGAAACAGAATTTGAACGACAGTCCAAACTACTTTTAATTTTTGTTGAGAAAATTGTGGACAACTTCTGAGAGATGTGTCCCTCAAAATATCAGGCGAGGGGGAAACGAGCTTCATAAATTGAAGAAGACCTTAAGCTTGACGAATGTGGACAAATGGACGGATTATATTCAGTATCTTTTTCTTTTGCAGATGAAAGAAACTTTTTCATTTTCTCTGCCTTTTCTTTTCGAGAAATAATTTCTATCGTACTGATCGATCTCAGAAATGCTTTAATTTCTCTTCACGTATCAAATCCGTGGCTGGCCCCCTCCAATAATTTCACCTACTCTCACAGAATTTCAATATATACCCACCATTCCCACTCTCTCTCGCCATTCGCATCCTGAGTTTCTTCTGCAATTTCACTCCCCTTCATCCACTGCCCACTCGATCACAAAATGGTTCTCGAGGCTGCGGTCAAGGCTGCCGTTGGCGCCCCCGATGTCATCGGAGACTGTATGTTCTTCTTTCCCTCTCATCTCCTCAGCAGAAATTTTTTTGATCTTTTGTCGATTTTGCGTTTGCAGGTCCTTTCAGCCAGAGGGCTCTCTTAACTTTGGAGGAGAAGAARCTTTCGTACAAATTGCATCTCATCAACCTCTCCGACAAACCCAGTTGGTAATATCTCGAGATTTGGGTTCTATTTCAGTTGCAAGAGAAAGAGGGGTTTTGGGGAAATGGGGTTATGTGGGTTCTTGTTGGTGATCTGCTGCAGGTTCTTGGAAGTGAGCCCGGAAGGGAAGGTGCCGGTGGTGAAGTTTGATGACAAATGGGTTCCTGATTCCGATGTCATTGTGGGGATTCTAGAGGAGAAGCACCCTGAGCCTTCTCTTGTTACTCCTGAATTTTCTTCTGTGTGAGCCTTCTTTACTTTCTCTACCTTTTTGGGTTTTCTTTCTATTCACTGTTTGCTGTGCTTTTTTGTTGACATATGTTTTCAACATTTCAGATTTGATGTTTCTGTTTGTGGAGTTGGGAGGATTGTAACCATATGTCTTTGTGTTTGCTTTATGGGTCCATTTTTTCCATGTCTCCGCTGACTTGTAGTTTGACTTTGTTGTAGCAGAATGTTTGGTTTTGTTGTAGCTGATTTTGTCCTGTGATTTGTGAAAGCCATGTTCCATGTCTCACTGACTTCTGGTTTGACCCTTATTTTAGCTGAATGTTTGGTTCTGTTGCAGCTAATTTTGTCTTGTGATTTGTGAAAGCTATGTTTCTTATGGGGTCAGCCAGTTAGGCAGCTGAATTTCTTTTGTTTTTTGGTTGGGATAAGGGAACTATAACTTCATTGATAGAAACACTATGTACAGAGGGTTCCAAGGATTAAAAAAATATATTTTAAAAAAATCCACCTGGAGGAAAAGTGTGCCAAAACACCAAATTCCAAAAATTGTTTCCATATCCCTGCCCCTAGCCTCATCTTGAAAGATCCAGTTGTTTCTTTCATCCGATGATCTAAACCAATAGTGTCTTTTTTTCTGAGTTAGCTGAATATTTTCTTTTGGAGGGTTGTGATTGTAGGTTTAAAATATAGATAAACATAATCCAAATGAAAACAACTTAGGCACCAAAAACATTTCCCACTCAAAATCATCATATAAGATAAAAGTTTCTTTTGAAAAGTCCAAAATACTTTAAAATAGTGGGTAAGTAAGCACCTTGTGTTTTCTTGGTCAAAGTGCTTGTTCACTARCAAAGGCATGTAGTCACTTAATAACACCTACCCAGAAGTCATGTATTTGAATCCCCAAGTGAGTTTAATAAAGAAAATTTTTGACATAAGTCCAAATCTTGGGACAAGCACGAGTACTCCAGATAGTGTGGGGCCCTCGGTTGTGGGTTATTTAAAAAAGTGTTTGATTGGAAAGAACTTCAAAGCAAATTTTACTATAATACTTATMGTTAAAGTACTATTGCAAGAAACAATTATTATTAGCACTTCCAAACACATCTTAATTAAAATACTATTGGAGAAACACTTGTGACTTATTATAAGCATGCACTCCCAAACGCATCTTTAACTAAATCATAAGCCATGTTTTGGTTCTGAAAAAATAGTTGTCCTCTCTCATAGGGGATCAAATATATTTGGTGCTTTTGTCAAGTTTTTGAAGAGCAAGGATCCGAATGATGGTTCAGAGCAGGCTTTGCTTGTCGAGTTGAAGACGTTGGACGAGCATCTTAAGGCTCACGTATGTGTGTGAAATATATCAAACAGCTATTTTAAAGTGTATGATTTTCCGTTCTCATTTTTTGGCAATGTCACATGGTGCAGGGTCCTTATGTTGCTGGAAAGAAGGTAACTGCTGTTGATTTGAGTCTGGCTCCAAAGTTGTACCATCTTGATGTTGCTCTTGGCCATTTCAAGAAGTGGGCCATCCCCAAAAACTTAGCCAGTTTAACCGCCTACAAAGAGGTACGATGTAGTTGCAAAGGCATTATATTGCTGTAACTTTTAAAATCAATCAGATCTTGCTAGCTTCTTAGAATGCCTGCCGTTTGAAATCTTCTGTTCTGGTTGATTTCTGCTCAACTAAACTCGAACCTGCAGTAATCGGGCGTGTGCGTCTAACGGATGGGGAATCCTAGGATAAACTTTGTTCTTCCTTTAAGAGTAGACGGGTTCAATGTTATCATCTCATTCAATTTAGCTTGTTATGCACAAGTCATGTTGGTTCATCTATTTACTTAGAGTCGAAACGATCGGGATTGATGTTTGTTCAATGGTAATGAAGGGTGTTTTATTATATGATGCTCTGATGAATTGTTGGCCGTCGGATTGTTGATTTTGCAGTTGCTTTTCGCTCGAGAATCTTTCGTGAAGACGAAGGCTTCCCCGGAGAATGTAATTGCTGGATGGGAGCCCAAGGTGAATCCTCCAGCCTGAATCAGGATTTGTTTTCTTCCCAAGTTATGAAGTATTGGGGGTTTATTCCTAAGAATGAGACTGGTTGCCAGGAGCTACTTTCCTGTGTCTTGTATTTTCATTTGGCATCAATAAATTAGTGTATATCACTATGCCACATCTTTAAGAATGCCAATGTTTAGAAAAGCTGTGTTTCTTCTTCTTCTTCTTCTCTGTTTATTTTCCCACCATTTTTGCAGAGCTTTGGTTATATGAATGTAAGACAAAGCACTGACCCAATTTTTACCAGGTTTTGATGGAATTTTCGAGTCTGCATTCAGCTCTAGAATTCTTTGATCTAGTTTCTCTGATGCTCATTCTTGTTTGCCGATTTTTGAAACCACTCTGTTTTTTCAGTTAAATAATACGTTAAGRTGGATGTTCGCATTTATAATCTTCTTGAGAATATATGTTATACTCAGAGTTGGCAACTCCAACATACTTATATCACTGAAAACGATTTTTTTTTTCTTTTACAACAAGTGGAACTAAAAGCGACTTCCTTACCATCTTCTTGTTAGAGAATATAAGTCATAATCTTTTGACCAGAGATATATGTTAATTATCGCTGAACTAGGTTTATATTGGCATTAAAATGACTTTCCAAACCTTATATTTTTCCCTGAAATGTCCATACTCAAATGGATGCAATTCAAGATTTAAATTTGAAAGGGATTGTATTAAATTTTTAACAAACTTTTCGATATAATTTAAAAAGAAATCAATAAAAAAAATTCTTAAAAATGTACAACAGTAGGTGGGAACTGCCCAATGTACATTGCCAGTGAAGTTAAATAAATGTGTTCAGAAAATTTTGTTTTCTTAAGGTCTGCAAGAATTCGACTTTTTTCACATAAATATCCAAGACGTGATTTTCCTTTCAAATTTTCATTCTTACAAAGAAAAACTTGATTCTCAAATCAAAAGGATCAGGAGGGATCAACGAAATCACTTGAATTCTTTTTGTTTTTTTTTTAGTCAATTGGATTTTCCACTTTTTTTCAGATATCGCTCGAAATGTTATTTAACTGAAGCCATCTTGTCATCCCACCCATCACTCATCGGTGATCTCCACTTTAATTAAGCTTTATGGATGTGGGCAAATATTCGGATCATATTCATATTCAATTACCCATATCGAAACTTTCTTTTTTGTATTCTTTTTCCTGAAAAAGAATCTCAATCGATGTCAGAAATGCTCTGACCTCTCTCGAGATACCAAATCCTCGCCTGAATGTTCTGGACCTTCTTGTCCTCTTCCAGTAATTTCATCCACCCGTCATGAAAATCAACAGCACAGCACAGCACAGAACTTCAATATATACCCCACAATTCCACGCGCCCTCGCCGTTCGCATCCTCAGTTTCTTCCGTGATTCCCAGCTTCAACGTTATCGGAAAATGGACCTCGAGGTTGCTGCCAAGGCTGCCGTTGGTGCACCCGATGTTATCGGAGACTGTATGTTCTTCTTTCCCACCGGAAATTTGTTTGAGTTTCTCTTAATTTTGACTTTGGGGTGTTTTTTCTCTCTCTCTCCTGCAGGCCCTTTCACCCAGAGGGTTCTCTTAACTTTGGAGGAGAAGAAAATTCCTTACAAACTGCATCTAATCAATCTCTCCGACAAACCCAGTTGGTAATATCTCGAAATTTTGCTTCTATTTCAGTTTCATTTCGGGTTGTGCTACTTTAAGAGGGTTTTTAAGCAAATGGGGTTGTGTGGATTGTTAATGATTTTGGCAGGTTCTTGGAAGTGAGCCCAGAAGGGAAAGTTCCGGTGGTGAAGTTCGATGACAAATGGGTTCCTGACTCCGATGTAATTGTGGGGATTCTTGAGGAGAAGTATCCAGAGCCTTCTCTCGTTACTCCTCCTGAATTTTCTTCTGTGTAAGCTCCTTTACCTCCTGAATTTTTCTATTCACTGTTTGCTGTTCTTCTTCGTTGATCAATGTTTTCAACAGTTCAGACTTGAAGTTTCTATTTCTTGAGTTGTGTGACTATTACTGTGGAGTTGGGATGATTGCATGAATTGTAACCACATGTCTTTGTGTTTGTTTGATGTGTCCATTGTTTTCAAGTCTCACTGACTTCTAGTTTGGCAAGATGTTTGGTTCTGTTGTAGCTAAGTTTGTCTTGTGATGGTGGCTGAATATTGATTGTATTGCATTTAAGGCATTAGATCTAGATGAAGACAACTTGATCTCTTTACTGGTTTGGATAAAGAATTAATTTCATAWTTATTCCTTCTACGAGTTGTACAAACTTCTTGTTTCTCTACCTTTTAATCCACGGAGAAAGTGTCTTAATTTGGTCTAGTTCAGTACTCTCGTTAGGCATCATCCAAGATTGTAATTGCCTCGGCTTTCCTCAAATTATAAACTATGCTTTGGTTCTGAATAAAACTGTCCTCTCTGTACTTTGGTTCATAGGGGATCAAAGATAAACGGTGCTTTTGTAAAATTCTTGATGAGCAAAGACTCGAATGATGGTTCGGAGCAGGCATTGCTTGAAGAGTTGAAGGCGTTGGACGAGCATCTTAAGGCTCATGTATGTGCGCCGTGCATAATGTATCGAACAGCGATTTTAAAGTGTTTATGATTTTGCTCTCCTCATTTTTGGCRATGTCTCATGGTGCCTAGGGTCCTTATGTTGCTGGAGAGAAGGTAACTGCTGCTGATTTGAGTCTGGCACCAAAGTTGTACCAAATTGATGTTGCTCTTGGCCACTTCAAGAAGTGGACTTTCCCTGAAAACTTAGCCAGTTTGTCTGCCTACAAAAAGGTACGATGTAGTTGCACCGACGTTGTATAGCTTGCAGTTGCATCTTTTAGTTCAATCAGATCTTTTTAAGCCAGTATGAGGTTTCTATTTGTTATCAGTTTCATTTTCGTTGCTCTCTATCTGCTTAGACTTTGCTGGCTTCTTAGATTACTTGCAGTTTGAAATCTAATGTGCTGGTTGGTTTCTGCTCARCTAAACTCAAATCTCCGATAACGGGGTTAACTGATGGAGAATGCCAGGATAAAATTTGTTCTTTTTTAAGTGTAGATGGGTTCATCGTCACCCCGACGAGTGGGACATGAGTTCATCTAGTTAGGAGACGAATCAGGATCCATATTTGTTCAATGACAGTGAAGGGTGAATGTTGATTTTGCAGTTGCTTTTCGCACGAGAATCCTTCGTGAAGACGAAGGCTGCCCCGGAACATGTAATTGCTGGGTGGGCGCTGAAGGTGAATGCTGCTTGAACTGAAGCAGGAGATGTTTTGATCCCAAGTTATGAAAATACTGGGGGCTTACAAATCCTAAGCATGGGAATTTGGTTGCTATTTTCCTATGCCTAAATAAAACACTGTATTATCACTATGCCTCAATAAAAGAGTTCCTATTCTTAGGAAATGCCCACATCTGCTCTGKTTTCGTTTCTCACCATTTTGGAAGAGCTTTGGTTTTATGAAGTTAAACAAGTYTAGGAGGTTTCTTAGCAGTTCGAGTCGGCTTTTARCATAGAAATCTTTGATCTAGTTTTTCGAATGCTTGTTCTTGTTCATCAATGTTTTACTTCACGTCGTCCATCAGTCAAAATATTGAACGTAAACTGATGGTCGACCTTAGAATTTGGCTACTTCCAACTTCGCATCACTAAACAGGATTCATTACATCAATAATACAGTTCAACGAGTTAATGCATTTACGTTCATCGAATCAATAATACAGCCAATAATACAGCTTAACACATTTATGTTTAGCCAAAAGATGTGAATTTGAATTTCTCTCTCATATGTCATATTAAAAAATATATATATATATATATATAAAAGGCAGAACTATATATAAAAAGCAGAACTGGATCGGGGAAAGTCACTTATGTCCGTGCCAAAGTCGTGGGTTCAAATTACATGTGCCAAAGTCCACAGGTTGATTTTAAAATTTCAAAAATAAAATACGTTAAATTTTCAAAAATAAAAATAGGTTAAATGAATACTTTAAAATGGGTTCAAATTTCATCCCACCCATGTTGATTTTAAAATTTCAAAAATAAAATATATTAAATTGTCAAAAATAAAATATGTTAAATGAATACTTTAAAAAAGGCAATGAGTAAAAAAAAAATAGGATGGGAAAAGGCAGAATTTTAAATTTTCAAAAATAAAATATGTTAAATGAATACTTTAAAAATAGAAAATGAGTAAAAAAAAAAAATAGGATGGAAAAAGGCAGAATAAAGAATAAAGATAGGGTAAGTATTTGATTTTTCTTGATCAAACTGACTGCAAAAGATGGGATAAGATAGAGTAAGTATCTAGATTTTTCTTGATCAACCTGACTGCAAAAGATGGGATGAGAGCATACGACTGTTCAGGTGACTCCCTTAATGAGTGATTTCATGCTTCTTCGAAATGTAATCAATTATGTCATGTGGACTACAATATCTCCTGTTGTTCATGCTTAATATTGTTTTCTTACATTTACTTATCATTGTTTGCTGTCGCTTGCCTATGGTCATTACAAATAGCATCAATCGAATGTGCGTCCAATTATAGTATCTCTGTTGAGTTTACAAAGACTGTCACTCTCTTATGCTTTTTCCATTTTTTTGAAGAACACATATGTTGGTGCATCTAGAATGGGTTTATGCTCCCCATTACAGAGTTACTACAGAGTTTGTGAATTTGCATCCGCATGATTTGAGTGACATACAYACTTTGCAGTAGGAAGAAAATCAAAAGTAGATCTGCTTTTTAAAAAAGAGCGGAYTGCGCATAGCCTAGATATTGGAGATCATTGGTACACTATTTGTCTTCTACATAGTGGCCAACGGTATTATTTATCGGTGTTACGTCATGGTCGGAAGGACTGATCAACAACCGACATTATCCTTCTTCTGCTCATTCTCACTCACCGCCATCAAATTCACTCTAATGTGATACTTTGTAACTTCAGGTAAGGTCAACACCGCCTTACTCAGCATTGATTAGGATTTAACTCATTTTAGAGGAATTTCCATGAAAAACAAGATTGATGCRCGACGAAGATTAGCTAGAAGATCCATGCAATGGAATAGAAGATTAGTAAGATAGGATGACGGCAAATAAGATTGATTGGCAAAAGAGTTAAATCCTAATTAGACATGGAGAGATAAAATYGTCAAATGATGCAAGTAGCATGAGCCCAGGGACAATGGATGAAATTACACCTTCCATAATTTTCAAAAATCCAAATTCGACCATCTGTATAAATTATAAAGTCTTKGATCATTTTTCATGTGTCAGGTACGTAGCCATTACTCAGAATTTCCCAATAAWAAAAAAATTTATGAGAAGTCTAGACTAAAATTGGGCCAGATTCCCTAAAGCATTAGAAGTTGGCCGCCCATTGTAAAGCTATTAAATTACTTTATTTTAGGAAGTTTTAAGTAAATGGCTAAATTCTGACCCTTACTCYACAAAATGTCCATTTGTTTATAATTTTGCAAAAATAKAAAAATAGAAGTGCAGACTACTATAGATACTGACATTTACCCAATAAACAGGAGTGCGACTTTAGTGTAGACCACAATTCACCATGTGCATATGTTACTAAAGCAATTACCATTTGGCAATAATGAATTCTATACTAATCGTATTTCTATGTGACGGTAGATGAGACCAAAGCAAATCACTTCGACCATAACTTTTAAGGTGTTTGAGATTTATGAAATCATGGAAATCTATTTTAGTATGTATAGTTTCCTACCCTTGTGATGATTGCCAAAGTATCTATTACTATTGGCTTGGGCATGAACTGAGCTTAGTCTTATTCAATTTTCTTTCTATTTTGCTTTTCTCTTAGTCTTATTTAATTTTATTTATGTTTGCTTCTTCCTCCCCTTCCCATTCTTGTTGAAGTTTGCAACTTAGCCCATGAAGTTACTTTCCCCCTCTTTTCCTCTCAAGACTAGATCAACTAGATGTTCTATGCTTTTAGATCAAATCATCCATTGGTAGCCCAACAACGCGGACGAAGTTCCGATACCACTAGTCGTCCCATCTTGATATCCCCTAGGAGCACCAGAAAGAATGTTTTACAGTTTCGTGAGGCTAATCAAACAACGGCAGATAATTCGAACATGAAAATCACATTGGTGTATTAGCGGTTGAGAAGAAAGTTACCCATAGTCCAGGCTTCAAACACATTAATAAGTTAATAAGTTCTTTATTATAGGTYACGATTGTGCTCACAATGATAGGAACAAGTTAGTTGTGAAAGACATTATAGGTATTGCTTTTGAAAATACCAAAATTTATCCCAAAATGAAAATGCAACAGACTACTGTAGATATTGACATTGACCTCGAAATGGAGGTGCGACACCAAAGACCATTGTAGATGCCGACATTGACCCAGAAATGGAAGTGCATACTACTATAGATACTGATATTTGACCCCAGAAATGAAAGTGTAGACTACTATGTATGAACCCATTAAATATATTTACCCCTCACCTAGAAATTTTAGATTTTAGATTTTAGATTTTAACATGAAAATTTATAAATTTAAACGTTAGCCAAATTTCGAATAAATTTTTATTTATTTACTTTCAAATTTAAATTAGATTTTAGTGGTTTCAATTTGATTATTTATAATTGATTCCTATAGGATGTATTGTTTTTTCAAGTTGTTGTACCAAATAAAATTCCTAAGATTAAGCACATATAGTTATAAGAGTATATTTGTCTAAAATAATATTTAGGATTCTAGAAAAACGTCACATAGCCATTTACTCAATATTTGATATATGTTTGGTCATTTTTTAAAACGTCTTATTTATTTTRGTCATTTATGCGGTTGTCTCTTTATTTCAAATCTAAAATTTTATTTTTTTAGGATATATGTTGTATAAAGCCTCTGGATTCAATTTCGTCTTTGCTCTGATTTTGGAACTTGATTTCAAATTCTATTTTTGGTTCAAATATTTTTCGTTTCAAATAGATTGGAGTTTAAATCTAACARATTTATATTTTGCACTTATTTTAGTGAAAATAAAATACTTATCACCTAACCTCCTTTCTTTACGTATCATTAACCAACCTAATTTCCAATTTTGATTTGTTAGTTTTTCTTTTTAATTCTAATAACTAAAACTGACTCTTCTTGCACATTCTTTTGCATAACCATTCAAAAAACCTAAGATTGATTTTTTTGTTTTGCTCTATTTAATTTTTCTATGATAGAAAAAAAAACTTTGCTACGAATAAATTGGAATAATTTGATTTTGAATTTTTTTATTTATATATATTTGAATTAAGAATTGCGAAGTTTTTTTTTAGTTTAGTTTTGAAAATAAAGGTGAATTGGCCAATAATTTTGTTGGACTGATTTGATTAAATTATTTATATTTTTCATGGTAGAAATTACTAGTTTATATAAAATATTATATTATTAATAACATAATATCCTGAAAAATATTAAAGGCGTAATAGTAAAATGTTATACATTTTTTTCATTTATCTTTAAACATTCAAACACGAAATTTTAATTTCAATAATCAATTTGGTTCTAAATGTAATTAGAAATTTGAAATTATTTCCATCATTTAAAATTATGGAATTTGAAATCATTTCTTACCAATTTCATACCTCAAACGAAACATTAAAATTTTGGATAACTAAAATATGTGCCACAAGATAGTTTGCAGGGAGGTTTAAAGGTCATAGGGTAAAAACTCAAAASGTTTTAAMGTACTATTTTGATCTCTATAATTTTTACTTTGATTCATTTTTGTTCAAATACTATTAAAAGATTCATTTTTATTTGTGTACTCCCAATTTTTGTTCGTTTTAGTCCATATAATTTCAAAACGTTTATTTTGATCATTGTATTTTTAAAAAGTGACTAACTTTGRTCCTTATTTGTAAAATTTCAACACAAAATTTTATACACATAATGAAGATCATTTAGTACAAATTTCTGACTACATTTCAAGAAATTTAGTAAGTGAAGTATCGTTAAGAAYGAGAAATTGAGTGCTTTTTCAAATGTATCTTCACAATTATCTTACAACTTATATGGGGGCTAATGTTAAAGTTCATATATATTTTCAAAAGGTGGAGAGAAAGTTGTCTCGATTACAAGTGCTCATATGTATATATTTAAAAAATAAAAATAAAAAGATAATTTTACGTGAGAATTTGATCCTATAACATTTTAGTTAGACATAAATATTTAACCAATTGGAGACTATTCAAGTTGATAATTTTAATTTGATTTGAGGTGAATTAATAGTGATTATTAGTTCAAACCGACGTGTTGTTGAACTTTAAAAGATAACGATGAGTTTTTATTTTAAATAATTTAAACCAAGAGATCCATCTTTTTTCATATTTGAAGAAAATGACGGTGGCAAGTCAATTATATATGTTTATATCAAAATGTCTTGCAAAGTTTACCATTTATGATATAGAGAAGTTCTCCTTTTTGTTCTGAATAATTTTYATTAATAAATCACTTTGATATCTTAATCCTGAGATTTGAGAAGTAGGTTTAAATAGTAAGTTTAATTGGAATGAAAAAGTATGATATTGCATTAAAAATAAAGGGTTTGTTCGGTAAATTATAGAATTTGAACTTATAGTCTTATTGTATCGCTTTTGATTTATCTTGACCTCTTTGGATCAATGAGTATGGTTAATGTCACTACCTACTTAAGATATAGGCGAGTGAGGCGATAGTCTAAGATCTCCAGTTTTAGAAGGSCTCATATTTTTCCTATATTAGTATATATAATATAATATAATATAATATTGTTATCTATTTATTTTAATTTTTAATTGTAAATGTACTTTGAAATATAAAATAATATATTTTTAATGGATTTTGCTCTTATAAATATAATTCTCTTGAAAAAAATCTTTAATTAAATATAAAACTCATAATCAATCCATCATCGAAATTTCTCTAGATTTTTAAAATTTAATTTTTTTGGAAGGAATGATAAGACAAAATATGACAAGACGGGACATGGAGACCTTATTACATACGCAATCAATAGGGAAAAAGAGACTAATAGGACGCTCTTCATAAATATGTAAACCTAAGGGAAGAAATACTGTTTGACTAGCATGCCAATCTACACAAAAATGAACTTCACGATAAATTTGTTGTATACTAACTCTCCATTGGTGAAAAAAGGAGGTTCTTAATATTTAAAACTATAGACAAAACAAAAAGGAGGTTCTTAATATTTAAAACTATAGACAAAAGAACTCTCAATTCTAATTTCATACCTTCAAAATTTGTTACTAATCGTTTTCTTCAGGTTTAAAACATTTCAAACTTCATTAAAAAAACATTAATATAGTCCTTCAAATTAACTCTCTCAAATTTTAGATCCTTTTTATTCTTTCTCCTTTTATTTATTTTTTTCACAATTAAAATTTTCAAATTCTCTTAAGAAAGACTCTACCATAAATATATTCGGTAAGTTATACTAATTTTAACTTAATTTTGTCCATCCAAATTGTTATAATAGAAACCAAAGCTTCAAAGATTATTATTTTAAGTTTTTTCATTCCATTTCTTTTACTTTTTTTAAAATGTATTTCATATTGTTTAATACATTAATATTTGAGTATTGTTTAGGTTTGTTTACTTGTTTCAATATAGAATAATAACATGTCTATAAAAAAATATGAATATGGATATGAAAAGTTTAAGAAAACATAAAATATAAAAACTTATTGAATCTAAAATACGTGCTACAAAAGGGATTGAATATGAAAAAATGTTATCAATAATTTTTTTTAGTAGAAATAAAAGTAATAAAAATGATAAAATAATAGAAGAAATAATAGGTATAGATAAATCAAAATATAAACAAAAACGGTAGATAATGGTATTTTTTAAATAAAGCATATATTAAAATTAAGTTAAACTGAAAAAATAGTCATATTGAGGACCTCCATTTCAAAATTTTGTCTAAGGCCACATATCATCTCGAGACACCCCTGGTTAATATTTTTATTTATGTTTTGAAAAACTAGAAACACGGACAAAAAACAAGATTTGTTGTATTCAAAATTTATATACAATTTTGGAAACGTTTCTTAGACATGAAAAATGAGAAACAATGAACGGTTAYCAAAAGCTTATGTTTCTAAAAAACTARAAACGAGAAATAGAAACATTACCAAACGCGTCTTTAACTTTTTCAATCTTTCGTCAAACTTTTTCTTTTCCAATTAAGCTCGTCACGCTAGCACTACTCAAAGTCCAATCAACTTTTTTTTTTGGGAGAGATCATTTAGACTATATTTCTAAAGCTGAGGAACCAAAGTGACCTATATATTACTGAAAATATCTCTTTTTCTTTTCTTTTTGTTTTTTCACATTGTAAGTAAGATAAAACAAACATCATTATCAAATATAACCAAAATATCACAGACGACAACTAAAACTCACGAGAAGAAGCAAGCCAACTTGAATTTGGACCCTAAAAACAAACTCGAGAGTCCTAGAAAAAAAAAATTTCACGATTTGGACGACAAAAAAAGCTACTTGTCCCTACATTATTTTGCTTCATTTATATGTTTCTATTGTCATATATGAACATCAAATATATTAAAGACAAAGGTCGAATCAATCTATAGGCATCTCAACAATGAACGATAGGAGAAGAGTATGGYGTCACCATCTCAATTACCCTACAAAATTTACTAAAACAAGAAGCAAAAGGAAATTCCTTTTCTTCCATACATTGTAAATATGTATTTTGTCGAMATCAATGCCTAGAATCTAATAATTCCTTGCCATCTGGCATTATTACAAAACTACCCTTATCTTTTGACAAGATGACAACGTGGTGTATATCATATAGTGAGAACAAAATATAACTCGTTTCTTGCTAATATTCATGTATATGTTCATTTTTTAACATGTGCACAGAAGAAAAATGGCGAGGCTAAAAAAAAAGAAAAAGAAAAGGTCGTAGTCAATATTACATGTATAATAGGTGCATGCATGTTAATAAAATTAGCTAGTCGTCAGAATCTTTAGAGATCATCCTTTSGATCAATTGTCTTGTCTCTTCTTCGGCCAATATTCTATCGTTTTTGTTTCGTGACTCTGYGTAAGCTTCAAAGAACTCTCTGTTTTCTTTCTCCAATTCCTTCCACACTGCAAGAAAAAAGAAATTCGCTAGATATCACAAACTGAAGGAAGGACACGATGTGGGGCGATAGTTTGGAAGAAAAGAGATAACGAGAAAAATGGCAACCGACCAGTGGAGGTGATTATCGGGCTGATGTTAGCATGTTTCGAGAGAGCTTCCATGCACTCATCTTTATTCATATGGAATATCAAACACTTCTCGATCAAATGTTGCACCTATGAACYAAAAGGGTACGTTTCTATATATTATCGACCGGTCGAAATGAAACATAATTCGAAACGGGGAGAGTTTAGGAGAAAGAATATGAAAGAAAAAGAGAAGAGATGTAGTAAATAGAAATGTTACCATATGAATGTAAGCAGCAGAAGAATCAGCCATTATTATATGAATCTTTATAGCATCTGATCAATTAGTCCTTTAAGCAAACAATATTTCTTTGTGTGTGTGTATATATAGATGAAGGTGGGGGCAATGGGCAAGTAACGAAATTCAATTGGTGAAAAGGGATTTTGATAACATGACAGTGACAGGCAAAGCAATGGAGTTTTGAAACCGGAATGAGGTAAAAGAAGTGGTGGGGTCGGCCAGTAGCAGCGTACCACGTGGGCGATGGGTGATAATTGGCGGAGAGGGGATTGGAGGGGATTTCGTGAATGACCAATCATTTGTCTTCTTTTGGAGTTGAGCAGCCCCCTACCACGTGATCGGTGGGCCCCACGCGATGTGAATTCTCCAAAACAATCCCCCGGCCCCACCAGACCAACCGCTCTTCATCTCATGAGTTGTTTGGCTTCTGCTTCGGGTAAAACTAGGTTTAGTAGTCAAACTTTCTACCCTTRTTCTTTTCACTTACGTTTTAAAACATCATTATATTTATTTAATAGATCTATAATAGTTTTTTAACGTTGCGTTAATATGAATTTAGTTTAATAATAATTGGCATCTGTATCTGATTAAGAGACTATAAACTCGAATCTACATCCCATTTATTGAACTAAAATATATATATATATATATATATATATATACATACATACATACATACATATATATTGGTTAGCGAAGTAAGTAATATAGAAAATCTTTCCATTCTATCATAGTCCTTGAACTTTTCTCTATTTACCCCATCCACATGACCCTAAAACAAATACGCATGGATAATAAAGTTTTTTGTAAAAATTATATATTAATGGATATGTTGACAAAATATCAATATTTTGATGGTTCAAAATTGCCAAACAAAACTATTTAGCTTAATTTTATTGCATTGTAACGTCTCAAACCTCAAAAKTAAGGATCTAGACATATTGATAATCTCCACATTTCCTTATATCTGTTGGACTATTGTGACTTTGTACGTGGCATGTAACGTCCTAATGTCTTAATGAATGAGCTCTCAAAAAGGAAAGTGTATTGTATTAATTAGTGATAATACTTATCAATTCTTTTAAAGATTTTATTAAATATATTGTCTTATATTTATAATAGTCATAATCTTTGTTCTTCTAACGCGGTATCAATTTATTCATATGTCCATTTGTTTCACTTAAAAGTTTGTCGTGTGAAACACTCTTTATTTATGCTTCTTTAATTATACCAATGATCTCTCTTTGCCCTGCTCCATCTCTTAAAGTAACATGGTATTAGAAGAGAAAAATGTTCCATTAATTAGTTTTATATGATGAAGAATTTCAGATTATGTTTAAAAAAAAAGATTAAGTTATATTCTTTACTTTTATTCAAGTTTTAATTATATTTCTATATACTAAATTATTTTTGTTGTTGTTATTTTTATAGGCATTTTTAAACATTGTAACTAAAATTTGATCTAGATTGACATGTTTGATATTATCAATATTTTAAGCTAGATTGGAAGAACTGAGTAGTAATTGACATATATCTCCGATCAAGAAGTTGTTAGGACCCCACCCCATATATTGTACTAAAAAAATGGAAAGAAATTGAAACCCATAAATGTAAAAAGTAAATAGTTTAATCGAACTTTTATAGTCAAATAGGTATTGAATTGAAAATATCTTCCATTGATACTTTCTATGATGTCTTTTTGGATTTTCTTTCTTGACAAAACTTGAAAACATTAATTAAAAGCAAGAAAAAGTGCAGAGATAGCACAATGACAAGTACTTCAATCTTTAAGTATCATCGAGATTTCAAATTTATATCTTAGTTATAGAAATCTATTTGCGTAAGTCACACGAAATTAAGTAAATAAAACATAAAAATGATAGTACTCTAGTTCAATCCCGAATACTTACTAGAAATTGGAGCGGAGTGAGAAAGAAAGGGGGAAAATTGCCCCAGTTATTTGTCATAATTAAAAGATGATATATATGTATATATATATAAAATACAGAATGTGTAGTTTCCTCTAATTCGTGCCTCTTAAACTTTTAGAATTGAAATATTTGAAGCACATAAATATTAACAAATTGTATCCCTCCCCATAAAATGTCCGACTTTACCCCTAATGAGAGGCAAATATACTTTCCAACATTTTGACACTTTCCTATAGGCCGTCTCAAATTTATTTCATTTTGATTTTTAGAGTTTTAAAATATATATTTTAGTGCTTCATCAAAGCGTTCATTTTAGTCTCTAGTGTTCGAAAAGTAATAATTTAATTATTGCTATTATTATGTCGTCTAATATCTTCCCTTCCAAACTCGTCTCAACCCACTTATGTAGCTTTAATATAGGTGTATTCCAAATTGTGTTACTAGTCACCTATTAGCAATTAACGATAAAATAAYAAGAAAAATATCAATTCTTTTAAAAGTTTATAGATGAAACTAAAATAAATCCGAAAGTTTATGAACAAAAATAAACATTTCGAAAAGTTTTAGATAAATAGAATACTAAAAGTTTGAATCAAAATGAGAGTTTTATATCATGTTCAAAGTGATGTTTTTACTGGTGCTACCACTYGGTGGAATATAGCACGTTCGATTTAGATCTCGTTCATTAGTAAGGTTTGTTTGGCATTTATGTCCAATAAATGAGTTGTTATGTCGTGTTTCATTTATGAAGTTATTATTTTATTGTTTGTCTAGTTGCTTTGTTTCTTCTCGTTCTTGTTGCCTTATTAGTAGGTTTATTTATTTATTTATTTTTAGTACAATTTGTGCAGGGGGAGATTCGAGCTCAAAATAGACGTATGGAGGTTTGAACTTACGACGAGAAGCAAATGTCAATATCGTTGAGCCATGTTCATATTGGTGTAATTAATGACGGATTACTCTTTAATCTTCGAAATAATTGTCAAAAAGAAATAGAAGAGGGAAGAGTGCAAACAAAAAATGTGATAGGGGTCAAAATCAAAGGCAATTTTCAAAAGTGGTCCAAAGAGTAATTAGAAGAAAAATTTAGAACGGGGTGTTGGAGTTGCGCACGCAATACTTGATTTGATGCTATATTTTGTTTTCTACGTCATTATTTTCTATTATTAATTTGAAATAGGAATATATTTTATATATTTGTCCTTATTTACCATAAAAGCTAGTAGTGTTAAATATGCTGAATTGGGTTGGGTTGATGCTTGTTTTTACCCAATTCTAAGGGTTGGAATTATAAATTCTCTCCACTGGCCAAAACAACTCTCTGACCAATTTTTTCTATACGAAATTATCCTCCCATAATTTTAGAATGAATATATTATTTTTCTTTTTAAAGAAAAATCATACCTATATTTTTTTCGTAACGAATAATTCAAATATTTTGAGAATCTTACTCTATTTTTTTTAATTTAAATACTTTCACAAAAGAATGGTAGGAAAAAATATTAATTAAATTAAAATCTCAACAAAATTTAAATAAGAAAATCATTTCAGAAAGTTATACTAAAAAGACAAGATTTAAACAATAAAATCATTATTGTAAGTGATACTAAAAAATATTAAATAATATATGATAAACATTATTAAACAATATTTAATTAGAAAAAGAAATACTAAGATCAAGATGGTGACAAATATGATGAACAAATACAGTGAATAGATGAACAGATACACGCACAAATACAGTACGGTGAACAAATACGGTAAATGATGAACATAACAAATGCGGTGAATAGTGAACATATGAACGTGAACGGTGAACAGATGAACATAAACGATGAATAGATGAACAAATACGGTCATATGAACAAATGAACAAAAAAGGTCAGATGAACAAATACCATGAACATATCAACAAGTACAGTGACCAATCAGGTAAACATATACGGTACAAATACGATGAATACGTTGAACAGATTAATAAATACAGTGAACAATAANAATATTAAATAATATATGATAAACATTATTAAACAATATTTAATTAGAAAAAGAAATACTAAGATCAAGATGGTGACAAATATGATGAACAAATATACGGTACAAATACGATGAATACGTTGAACAGATCAATAAATATGGCTTTGCTTTTAGTTCCACCCATAAGATCTCACACCGATGGAGATAATTGTCTTTTCTTATATGCAATTGATCATCCATTTTCATAAGCAATGTGGGACTTTGTTTGCACTCSTTACAAACCCAACAATTGGTGAGTTTAGGTAAGTCTATCTTTGATTTTGTGCATTGATGTACATGTTTATTGAATATTCACTTGTTAGGGTGTGATTTATGTTGATATTGGTAAGTTTCGGAGAAATTTTTACTTTTTTTTTTTCGAATTAATAAACAGACGCAATGGAAATTGAACAAAAGTMAAAAATTTCCAAGTATAAAGCTTATTTTAGTGAAATTATTAACCATTTCAAATTCAGGAGTAAAAGTTTAATTTTTTTACTTTAAATTCTTTGCGATCCTTTTAAAGAGAGTAGTTTTCAAACCTATAGAAATTGTTTTTGTGAATTTACTAGGAACTCAAAAAGTTCTTTAAAAAGGTGAAGAATAAAATATTTTAAAAAATTATGAGCAACGTAGCCTAGTTTTTATAAAAAAAAAAAAAAACGAAATTGAAAAGAGAATGAGTATCAATTTTGAAGAAGCAKCATGTGCTCTGTTCTAATTAAGTTGGCTCTCTTCGTCTTCAGTACATCGTTAATGGCTTAACTTCAATGTTTCATCATAGTTTTTATATTATTTATTAATATGCTATTTAGAATAACTTTATGTAAACATTCGTTTTAGATTAGTCATTAAATTTTTTTATTGTATTTAATAAAGATTTTAATGCGGCACTATAATCATGTTGATTTGTCTTTTAATCTGTATACCTAATGTTTTGTTAAATGAAATACGCAAAGTTAAAGAAAGTGACAAGAAACTAAAAATATTATTTAAATCTTTAATTTGAGATAGGCATGACAAGAGCTATGGGGTGATTTTCCAAGAGCCAATATATAGTTGGTCTATTCAAGAAAGAGCCTCYGTTATAGGGATCTCATCAGCGTAAACCACACGGCATCGATTCTTCAAATTTTAAAAGAAAAGCCTTGAAAAGTACATTTTTATAATTTAAATTGATTTGAAAAAACCCATGGAGTACCTCATTTACTGATTAAAAATTTGATAGAATTAGATAATTATAGAGTATGACAAAAATAAAAACAAATAGCTATAGATTAAGACATCTTAGTTTACCTATATATTGAATTGATATTTGAATATAACACAATGAAAGAGATTTTTAAACAACATAAAAATATAAGTAGAGATCTAAAATCACATCAATGAAAACGCATCTAAATTAACTAACGACAACGGTAGATTCACGTAGGCACTAGGGACACGTGTTTCTAGACTTTGTAAAATGCAAATTGACACACGTTGTCAAATTTAAGTTTAAAATTGATATTTTTCTTTTATGATGTTTATACGTATTTCTACCCGTGGCATAAAATTCTAGATTCACTCTTATAAATAATCCAATATACTACATCAAATTTGGATGAAAGGTAGAAATGATAAATCATAAATCAAGGGTTTATGATTTAGTGCCAAAGAAGTATACGAATGAAAGACTGAAAATTTTGCGTCTGTTTTTCCTTTGTCCTTCATATCACTCACCGACTAATCACCATCTCTTCCCAATCAAATCGCCTTCAAAATCCATTGAAAGGTTAAAAAATTATTAAGCCCCATAATTATTCTAGTAACAAAATATATATATATATAGTTAAATCATCCGTTTGAATAGATTGTGCACCTATTTAATTAGTCGTTGTATTCTAAAAAGTTTCAAATAAGTCTCTAAATATTTTAAAGTCAGGTGTATTTTATCCATGTACTTTAATAAACTCGAAAGTTCAACGATCTATTTGAAAATGGATGCAATATTAAAAAAAAAAATTGGAGACTAATTAAAAGGTTAATAGTACAATAATTAAATTAGATATAACTCTAAAAATTCAAGAGGCAAATTTGTGACAGAAGTTAATTTTATTACCAGAAGGATTTACTTATGAAATATTAGAATGGTAGAAATACGTAGGTACACAATTTAAATTTGAATATTAAATATGAATATTTAGTATGAGTTCGAATACCAAATAATATGCAAGGAATGAACTAAATAGGTTGATCTATTTCTAAACTTTGTAGTTTGTTATGGGTGAACTTATCAAACTCTATTGATCAACTACAAGAAGACTCGTTGTGAACGACACTAAATTCTTATCAAATCGACTAGTAAGGTACTAAGGGCTGAAGTGGTCAAGCTGAGCCGATCATCAAGGCCCGAGGTCGAGATGACTAAGCCAACCAACCACCAAGACCCTGAGGCTCCAATTCCACGACTAAGAGATCTTAATGCTATATATACCATTATAAATCACAAATATGTCGTCAAAAATCTCGCACGTTATCCGTTCTCTTTGAAAATATTGAAGAATCAACAAGATCATCACTGGAAATAAAAAGATATAGACAATTAAAATAGTCTAAGACCTAATGAAATTCTCTACATAGGTAGGAGGAGAGTATGAGATTATGTTACCTAACTTATTTCTTGTTTTACGTTCAACTTAACACATTATTATTTAACTGAAGCATCAAATTGTTTTGGGCTTAATGCCACACCATAATTATGTGCAGTTTTCGTTTGAAATTTCCCGTCTTATATCTCGAATTCAAATTATGCATCAAAACAAATTTGTTGCTTTAGACGGTAAAAGTGAAGAAAACTATAATATATTATGGAATAAAACCTAAGTACAGTATATTAGTGTCCACCTTGATTAGGTTTCCCTTTTAAGGATTAAATTTTTTTTTCTTAAATGTTATCTTTAAAGACCAAATTCGTAATTTAATTACAGCATAATTACTATTTTACAAAAATATTAAGATTTAAAAATAGAAACTAATGGAAACATCTTATGTATTATAATTTATATGAACGATTATAAAATATAGTATTACTATTTAAAAAATAAAAGTGAGATTAAAAATATTATGTTTGTTATTACATCATAGAAAAAGAAAAAAGAAAAAGAAAAAGAATCCCAACAAATTGGACACGACATTCTTATTGGACAGAGCTCTGTATTTTCCTTTTTGATAGATATTTTGTCGATATGTCTTCAAATAATGCCACAATATCTGACAACATTGTAACCTCCAAAAACTACATTAATTTCAAAACAAAAACGTTATAATGATAAGAAATGTTGCATTTTTTCTTTAATTTCTCTATCTTACCGATTTCAAACAAAATCATTACATTCATACCCCCATCGTGTTGTTGTCAAAATTCTAGACGGAACGATGAGTAGCAGCATATGATTTGAGGTAGCTGTCTAATTAGCCGAGGTAATAATCTATCACACAAAAAATAAAAAAAAAATAAAAATCTAACATCGAAGTCGTACTAAATCACGTACACTTTAAAGCTTTTAATGCTTAGTCGGGATTGGTATCAAACTGATGTTATAAGTTATATTTTGCATAGAAATTGTGTTGTTGTGAGGAACGGACTCTTCTTTAATAAAATAATTTTATAAAACATTGTGTCCTTGGACAATTCATATATGCTATTTAGCTATCCATATCTTCGAGTATCATTAAACTTTTTCTTTAATATTTAATAGTTGCTTTCACTTGCTTGGACTTATCTTTTTAACATTTTTTTTTTACCCACCTTTTTCTCTTGCACTAGTAAGATTTGACCCAAAAAAAAAAAAAGTGATAAATAATGCATTGATACTTCATATCTTTTACCAAGGAACAAAGCCATATAGTGATCTTATTTGTACAATGTTTTTCTTGAAAAAAGTGGACCTCAAATTCCGACCACACATTCATTAGCAGTGTCATACTTCGTTTGCACATTTGACCACACAAAATAATTGTACTATAAATTACTCCAAAATATAATCTTTTTAAATTCGAAAACTCTTTATATCCCACAAACAGCTTTTCACTCTCAATTTCCACGACAATCTTTTCCGTCATTCCTCCTATCAAATGGTGGGAATATTTAAAATTTTAGAGATTAAATTAATATTGATTTATTCCATTTTAATTAGTGAATAGTATACTTTATCATACACATATCAACTAATAAATCAAGAGTTGCAATTTAGTTGTCACATTCAATTATTTCAGTCATAAATTGTAACTTTGGTTATTATCAAACAAGGTTTTTGGATATGTGAAATCACATCATTTTTTAAGACACCGCTTGACATATAAAATAATCTTATTTAATTTATATATATAAACTTGTATTGCATTATTAGGCATAGAATAGATATTGCCGATRTTATCAATAATTAAAAATAAGCGGAGGCTCGATTTCAACAAAAATAATAATAATAATAATAAATAAGCAGACGAACATTGGTAAAAAGGGACAAAAAAAAAGTTACTAATTTTTGCTCGTACACACCTTGACTAATCACGGGCCAACCGCCAAATCCTACTACGTAAATTTAGGTTGTCTATTCTTATTTTTAATAGAAGGTTATTAGAGATTATATATATATATATATATATATATATATATATATATATATATATATACTAACTATCACCAATGATTTAAGAGATAAATTATCTTTAACAAAAATGAATAAATAGCCCTCAACAATAAATAAAACCCATTTCAATAATTCAATAATTTTTTAGAGTTCTTTTTTAGAGTATATATTATCTTTTTGTCTTCCCATACATTTCAAAAGACGATCTAATTAATGTCGATCCTTAATTTAAAATTTTCTCTTTAAGAAATAATATTTTATAATTAATTAATGAAATAACATAATAAAGTAAGTAAAGCTACCTAAGTTGCTAACYTGTAMATACATCAACTAATTAAAATATATATCATACTTTCGAATCTCAACCATATATGTTATTGAGCTCAAAAAAAAGGAAAAAAGAATAATGCTACTTAAGTTGGATTAAACTTGAAAATATTTCTTAAAACTTTAAAAATATGTTATAAAAAGAATTTTCAGTAGTGTAAAAACTATGCCTTAAATTCATTTAGTATGGTTTGAAAAAAATTTCTGAGATCACAGCCTTGAGAATTTTCAATTTTTATACAGTTGCCAGGTTCTCTTTTCTCCAAAAATTACCAAAGAAATTCCACAGCATTCAGATAGAATAAGGCAAATTAGAGACCGAAACCGATCTTGTTGTACTTTACTTAACTACACTTCACCACACAAATGAACATGCGGAATGTAGAGTTGAAGAATGCACCATGTTTTGCCTTGTTCTAAGAGTGCGCCTGTGCATGCTCTGGTTTATGCTTGTACTCGTAATCGAGATGAACAAAGGCCCTCTCGATTTCCGGTAGGAGCTCCAGCTTTTCCTGCAACGACTCACCGATGTCATGGGCCTCTTCCAGTGGCATGTCTCCAGGCAGGACGATGTCAACCTCGACAAAGTAGTGAGACCCAAAWGTGTATGCCCGGACTGTGTCAATGTGTCTGATTGCCTTGTGATGGTTCCAACATAGGTAGGTCAGTTTCTGTAGATACTCGGGGGCAGCTGATCTTCCAACAAGGGAGTTCACGTTTTCTAATACCGTCATCGACCAGGTGCGGATGGTGTATAAAGCCAGCTGCAGCAATTCACAGAACACATGGAGTAAACATGGGCAACTTTTACAAAGTTCTACACACTATCAGAAACTAAAATGAAGCACAAGAACCAGTTCTACGTATTTCAACCGAAAGCTCTCTAGTTTTCAACATGCCTAAAATGAGTTAATGATGTTCCAGCAAAAGTCTTGTGGCAAGATGATCATTCTCAGGGTAACACATGTATAAGAAATTTGAGATTTTTTCTTCCTTGAGTTCACCAACAGTGGGGTGAGGAAAATTATGCTCAAATTGGCAAGATAATATGAATATGCATGTTAAATGGATATGCAATTAAGCTGAGTCTCGGTTTCGCTGATGAGCTTTATGCATATGGTATACATACAACAGCAAGCGATGAATTCAAGATGGGGTAACAATTTAGAGAGGTTGCACTCACAATAATAGCTCCAAGGGGGTCCATCCAATCATCTATATAATTGGCGAGGAGTGCGGCAACGAGGCCGATAGCATTTGTGACCACATCAAAGAAATGATCTTGTGCATACGCTTTGACTATCTCGTTGGTGAAAGCACGGCAATAAACAACTAAGAGCAATTTCACCAGAGTAACTGAAAGCATAATGCCAACAACCCATCGCTCTTGCTCCTTGGTTAACTTGAAATCAGAATCCTGTTAAAAAAAGTACAAAACTAAATGAAGGAAAATCATATGCCAGACCGTCTGAACCGACTGAGTGAAGTGTCGTTGAACAAAAGTCTAGTCCACTATCTAGGTACATGACTTTTATGCTCGAGGGAAATACTTGGAATTTCACAGTAACAGAAGAAAGCACTTGTGATTCTCGTACTACTTACATCTGATAAGAGAGTCCGAATTGACTCCAATATTATCTGTAATCCAAGAGTTGCCATGACAGAGGCAAAAACAAGAATACCCTGCATTAAGAAAAAATAGAATTTAAATCCTCTAGTATCCTCACCCATAACAGATAAATAATTTTTATTAAAAAAACAGTGAATGTAAAAGAATTCATCTAATCCTCATTCTACTTACGTTTGGAAAATAGTTAGTAAACAAAATAAAAATCTTAAAATACTACAAATCTAGATTTTTTTTTATATCCAAATGATCAAAGAATAAATATATTGATGAAAAGTGGGTGGGGGCCAACCACTATGACACTTCCCTAAAGAGTCAGCAAGCCCTGTGTTAGCAAAGATTGTGGCCTTTTTCGTTCGGTTCTCTTCTACCATTAAATAATGTAAATCTTTCCAAAAAAAAGGGTCTTAGCAAGAGACGAAATGTCAGAGGTAATGGACTCTAAGTTTGCCCAAATTAGCTAGCTGTCCCCTGAACGCGTTGACCGGTCGAGTGGAATCAGAATACACTTTAATCACCGTTCCCAAGCACTTCGACAGCCCTTTACATATGGCTTCGCTTTCAGCGTGCTGAACATGTTTGCAAGCTAGCTATCCTTGAATTTGCACTCAAGCTACATCTATGAAGAGACGGACAGCTGAGTTCCTCCTTCAAGGTTGCTTTCATTGCCTGCATCCACACTGCTACCAAGGTCTATGGGTTTTGTGTTCTTGGATCACATTCACGAATCAAGGGCCATGGCTTGGGCGTGAGCGCATGTCTGCCTCAGCAGGATCAATAAAGGTATGCTAAAAGACCAACTGATTTCTGGATCCTTCATAGACTGAAAGCAAATAATTGCGGGTAGTGTATCTTGGCTTCTTTTTTATTTAGAAAGCTAGTTACAGAGAAAATTAACCAAGTGCCAATACCCAAATGCAAGGGATTTGCAAACCAGAATCACTAACCATTGTCGCCTTCCAAGAATATGTGCTCCACTGTTTCAGTATACTTTACTTCCTACACTACAAGATTATTAACCAAGTGCCACAAACCAGAATCACTAACCATTGTCGCCTTCCAACAATATGTGCTCCACTGTTTCAGTATTATACTTTACTTCCTACACTACAAGATTCCTCCA